TGAGCACTGGGTGTTGTATGGAAACCAGTTTGACAATAAATTTCATATTAAAAAAAAAAATCAGTCTCCAAGGCATATCTAATAGAAGAGTCTTGGATATGATACACATTTCTGTCTCAGGAGACAAAACACTCTTGCTGTCACAGAAGCCTCACTGTTGCATCTTCGTCCGTATACTGGGAATACTAATACTTGTCATTAGGATTAATAGGTATAATATTCATAAAAAAAAAAAAAAAGCAGGGGAGGAAGAGGATAAAGACCTTGCCACGCAGGAGAGAGGGAAGGAAGGCAGGAAGAAAGAGAAGAGGCAGAAGGTTTGAAACCTCGGGTCAGGAGCAGGATGGGTTGTTTGGCCAAATGCCTGTGGTTGGGGGACCCAAGGGGTGTTGGCGATTGAAAGCAGAGACGTCAGAGGACAAAGCGTGGGAAGGTGGGTTCAGAGAAAGATAGAGGCAGACTGTGTGGTATTAGAGGAGGAGCCTGGCGGTCAGTACCGGTCATCTGAGAGACAGAGAAGTCCGTGATTGAAGCTGGAAAGATTTCCAGCGGGCCAGGTTTTGAAAGATTTATCAGCAGGAGTCACCTTGAAACAGGAAGAGGGAATGTCAGGAAAAATAACAGAGAACAAAGCTAAACAGTTACTAGATTTGCCGACAAGGATTTCACAACACAGGTAGGAGCTAAGATCATCATATGGAACCAAATGATAGATTACTCCAAGCAGTTTATACACAAAGTAGTTTTATATATTTTGGCCATGATTAAACTTTTTAAACATTTCATTGATTTGTTTTTTAATGAAAGCGTAATTAGCGTAAAGTGTTGTTTTAGTGTCGGGTGTACAGTATAATGATTCAGCAATTCTGTATGTTTCCAGTGCTCATCGTAAGTGACCTCTTGATCCCCTTTACCTCCTGCACCCATCCTCCCCCCCCCCCCCCCCCCCCCCCTCTGGTGATGATCAGTTCTTTGTACTTCGGAGTCTGTTTTTTTGTTTGATTTTTTCCCCCTCTGTTCATTGTTTTTTTTGTTGTTTTTGTTCCCTTAAATTCCACATATGAGTAAATTCATACAGTATTTGTCTTTCTCTGACTGACTTATCTCACTTGGCATTATACTTTCTAGGTCCATCCATGTTGTTCAGATGGCAAGATCATTCTTTTTTATGGCTGAATAATATTCTCGTGTGTGTGTGTGTGTGTGTTCTTTTATCCATTCATCAGTTGATGGACACTTGGGATGCTTCCGTATCTCAGCTATTGCAAATAATGCTGCACTGAACATAAGGGTGCCTGTATCTTTTCGAATTAGTGTTTTTATTTAAACAAAGTAGTTCTAAAAAGAACTGTCTTTTTTTTAGGATGCTTGCTCTGAACAGTTCACATCTGATTGTTGCCTCACTGTTGATGAAAATCTTTCTTCGCTATCGTTACAGTCTCAGGGTCATGGCAAAGCTGAGCTCTCGCACTTGCTGTCCTACTTTGTAACCCTCTGTTTCTTTTCAGTTCACTTCATGTAGTTGCCATCAGTCTTTCTGAATCTGAGGCCACCTGCCTGGTTTCAAATTCTAGCCTGAGGTTTCCTGGCTGGAAAGAGGTAGAGGCAGAATTTCAGCCCGGCAGCCTGACCAGAACCAATGCCCCTGACCATGCTGCCCTTGGCCTGTCATTCCACGGTGGGGCCTACCCATTCAGGAACTGATAGAGATATTAAACAAATAAATGCCTGTACTTACTGCCATCTGACTATCCAAGCTTTCTGTACTTTTTGAAGTTCTTATTTCTGAAAATAAAACCTCATAGTTTAGAGTTTAGAGGGCACAGAGTATATATGGCCTACTAGAACACCCTCCCTTCAAACCATGGGAGGAAGGGGTTCTCTTAAATGAAGTCTGCTTGTCGGGCCCTTTAGCATGACTGCCTTCATTTACAGAATCCACTAGAGTGGCTCTTGAGTATCCCCATGGAAGCTGTGTATTCACAGGTGTATGGATGAAATGTCTTTCTGCTGTTAATATTTGACTTAGAACAAAACCACTAGTAACTTTGTGTTTTTTTCTTGAAAGTATAGGAGGTGTTTGAATGGAATCGTATTTCTGCATGTAAAACATACACTCCATTTTTTAGAATGCTTCTGGTGTGTTGGCGGGCAGTTATTCTCCACACCCTCCCCCACCCCCTGTCAGTAGAGAATTTAAAAAAGGCCAACCAGAGTAGTATTCTAGAATATTAGGTATATTACACAGTTAGGGTAACTTTCTTGCAAATCCCCCTCTCTTTCTTTCTTTTTTTTTTTTTTAACACCAATTTTTTTTATGTGAGAAAAAAGATTCAAGGAAAGTGAAAATTTCCTATTCCATGTTCCTAGATAAACAGATTCAATACTGAAGTTATTTTTTTTAAGGCACTGTTTTCCCTGAATTTATTTGTAAGTTTAAGGTGATTCAAATGAAAATCAACATGTTTTTCAAAACTTTACATCCTGATGCAAAAGTTTAGATTGTTTTAGTTTTAAAACATTAAGCTGATGCTAAAGTTCGTGTGTAAAAATAAAAGATTTATGATAAAGTACGAGTGGTTTTCTATCTGGTGGGCTCCCAGGTCACTTGGTACTTGTACAGATGGACTCCCAGGGTACAAGAGGGAGCCCAGAGATAGGTCCAAGTCCAGGATGTGATAAAGGTGACATTTCAAATCAGTGGGGGGAAGTTGGATTTTTCATTAAATGGTATCAGACCAACAGACTGACTACAAGATAAAATTAAGTCAGTTGCGCCTGGGTGGCTCAGTCGGTTGAGCGTCCGACTTCGACTCAGGTCGTGATCTCGCAGTGTGTGAGTTCGAGCCCCGTGTCGGGCTCTGTGCTGCCAGCTCAGAGCCTGGAGGCTGCTTCGGATTCTGTGTCTCCCTCTCTCTCTCTGTCCCTCCCCCACTCATGCTCGCTCTCGCTCTCGCTCTCTCTCTCTCTCTCAAAAATAAACAAACATTAAAAAAATTTTTTTTAAAAGATAAAATTAAGTCAGATTCCTATATTATTTCCTCCATCAAAGTAAATTCCAAGTCGAAGATTTAAAAGGTCTAAACCAAGGAAATAAAACGCACGGCACTGTGGCTGCCCCGAGCGGATGGGGCCGTGTGGGAGATGGGCCGCCATTCTCTTACTGTAATACTCCCTGAGATCAGGTGCCATGCGTTGCCTGTTCCAAAGTATATGCTATTAATAATTGAACTATAAAATTACTTAAAGAGAATACAGGAAAAAACAAAGTTTAAAAATAATTTTGGAGCATGGTAGCCCCCTGTTATGCAAGGCAGAACCCATCAGCAAGTTAGGAACAGAGGAACATAACTGTACGATCTCTTTGGGAAAGAATTTGACACAGTCTGTCAGCTGAAGAAGCACATTCATTAGCCCAGAAATTAATCTTCTGGGAATTTCACAGAGACGTATGGGACACACGGGAAAAGATGTACAAGCATGTGCATGGCGGGGTTGTTTGCAGTAGCTGAACACTGAAAGTACAATATGTGAGCATCAGCATATGCCGGTTCAACTGGGAGAAAACTGCAGCGGAACTTCCTGGAGCTGCGTAGAAGAGCCACGTCACCCATTCGTGCTGATGGACCTCGGAGAACGTTTCAGGCCATTAAATGAAGGAGACAAACACAAGTACAGAACACAAAGTATCATTTGGGCCCACTTGTATGCTTAAGAACAAAAAGGAGAGATGCCTGGGTGGCTCAGTCGGTTAAGCGTCCGACTTCAGCTCAGGTCATCATCTCACGGTTCGTGAGTTCGAGCTCCGTGTCGGGCTCTGTGCTGACCGCTCGGAACCTGGAGCCTGCTTTGGATTCTGTCTGTCTGTCTGTCTGTCTGTCTCTCTCTATCTCTACCCCTCCCCTGCTCACACTCTGTCTCTCTCTCTCTCAAAAATGAATAAACTTTAAAAAAATTTTAAAAACAAAAAGGATCTCTGTGGGTGGGATATTTGATTAAGTATCCATAAGGAACTGATTAGTAATAGTTGTCCAGAAAGAATGGCAGCTTAAGTGGCAGGTATATTTATTAAATTGCATATCCTTTTATTCTTTTTAAGGTTTTTTGTTTGTTTGTTTTTTTACTGGGAAGGTATTGCTTTTTCAAATAAAAATAAAAACCTAGTCAAAAATACAACAGATTTGCTCTAAAATTGCTAACGTGAGTAAAACAGAACCTCATCAGCTTGTATAATCTCAAAAACATGATTTAAGTGGGGGAAAAAAAAGAACCTACAAAGAGATACGTACAATGTTGTGTAGGTCAGTTTTTAAAACATAAGTTATTTACAATGTAATTAGTAAGTAGTGGAAGTATAAAACCGTGGGCAGAAATGAATACACTGAATACACATTCAGAAAGGTAGTTGCTGGGGGGGGGGGGGGGGGGCGAATGGGGCAGGAGGGACAGGGAAGGAAGAAGGGGAGTAGACAGCTGCTGTGTCTCATAGTTCCTTGTTCCTGGTTGTCAAGTTCTTAAGCAAATATGGCAAAAGGTTAACATCAAAAAAAAAAAAAAAAAAAAAAAAGGTTGATGCTGCTTTTTGTGTTTTCCTCATCTATTTAAATGTAAAATGTATTATTTAGGGGCACCTGGGTGGCTCAGTCAGTGAAGTGTCCAATTTCAGCTCACGTCATGATCTCGCGGTTCATGGGTTTGTGCCCTGCGTCAGGCTCTGTGCTGACAGCTCGGAGCCTGGAGCCTGCTTCGGATTCTGTGTCTCCTTCTCTGTTTGCCCCTCCCCCACTTGCACTCTGTCTCTCTCTCAAAAATAAATAAACATTAAAAATAAATGTAAATTATTATTTGAATTTATTTCTTTAAAATTGTTTTAAATTTATGTCAACTTTTTCAGCACCCCTGTTGTATTCATTATTATGTAACTCCTACTGAATTGAGTAATGTTTTCAAGAAGTCATAAATATTCTTTCTCTTTTTTTTTTTTTTACCCCTAACAACAGGTCAGCAGTGGCAATGACCCCTGGTCAGCCTGGAGTTCTTCCAAATCTGGAAACTGGGACAGCACAGATGGCTGGGGAGCCAAGCCAGAGGGGGCCGCGGCCCAAAGAAACACCTCCAATAACTGGGACACTGCCTTTGGTCACCCCCAGGCCTACCAAGGACCAGGTGAGGAAGAGGGCCCTGCTGGTGATCGGGCCCACCCGTAAGGGGACTAGTGAGAGCATCCCAGTTAAAAATAGAATTTAATCAAAGGAGCGCTCTCGAATGCTCATACTCACTAATAGCAAACCTAGATTTCTGGAGCCAAATGTGGGTAGTCGTTAATTATAATCTTTAGTTCCGTCTTTGTCATCTGTCATGGAGTCGCGAATGCTTGCAGGGTTTGTAAAGCAGAACAGAATGGCCCAGTGGCTGCTGGAGATGGAAGGGCATGCCTCCTATCGCCGTTAGCTCGATTGCCACTGCAGGAGACCCAGCTCGTGCTCCTGGTCCCCCAGAGAGACAGGAAATCTCAGTTTTTTAATGGCATCTTCCCACTCCAGAATCACAGCAACTGATACACATTTGCTTTAAAACTTTGGGCCAAAACAACTGCATATACAGAGTGAGTATAATTTGTCACCTGCTGGTTTATAACCTCTGACTTGCCTGTTTTCTTTTTCCTTAACTACTCATTTGACTCCCAGGCCTTAATGGAAATACAGAGGCAAAAGAGGAATTTATAGAAGGGGAAACAATTCAGGAATTAAGAAAAAGGGTATTTATGTCTTTCTGAAATTAAATAAAAAGAGATCTGCCCCTCATTATTTTACGGCCCCTGTCTGAGCACGTCACATGGAGTACGAATGTGCTAGTGGCAGGGAACCCATGCGCAGGAAGCACGGGGGTGGCGGGCAGGCTCCTGCTGGCAGCCGGGGCTGGGCTGTTGGCAGGTGCGGGAGACACGGGCTCGGGCTGCGACCCAACAGCTAACTCCTGGCTCTGTACTCGGCCCAGATCCTCCCGGTGCATTCAGTGCCTTTCTTTTTCGTTTTGGCATTTGTCTCTTGGCTTCTCCCATTGGCACTGCTAGGGCAGAGATCCCAGGATACCTGAGGCCCTCAGGGTGGGAGACAGAAGCCCAGACTAGGACCAGGAAGGAAGGGAAAGCCTGACAGAGGTCACTGTTAGGATATGAGGCTCCTGGTACTGCCACTTCCCTTTTGTCTTGTTTCTTCTCCATCGCTTCCCCCTCCACTCCCACCCTGCTCCTCTCTCCCTTTCCCAGTGTTATCGTTCATATTAATTTCTTTCCAAAGATCTGTCATTCCCCCCCCCCCGCCCCCCTCCCCCACACTCCCCGGTATTCGTGACTGAGAAGGTATTCAATGCTTATTTGCAAGTTTATAAGGCGAGATTTATCTGTGTGTGGGCCTTGCCCTGGGTACACACCTCGGAGCCGCTCTCAGTCTGCATCTGTCTGAAGTTACTTGGAGGGACAGCCTCGTTTCTAACTTGTCCTTTGCACTAAAAGGCAGAATCCACAATTGGAGCTTTAAACCTAACTAGAGCCTTTGCTCCAGTCTGCATTATAATCCTGTGCTACGCCCTTGTCTCCTGTTCTTTAATTGGTTAACGTAGGTCCGGTCCATAGTTACTCTCAGAAAATTAAGTCATTGCATTTGTATTTTGTTTTTCTTCCCTGGGGATCTTCTGTGCCCACCTCTAGCAACCGCGGGTGATGACGATGACTGGGACGAAGACTGGGACGATCCCAAGGCGGCCGCCCCCTACTTCAAGGATTCAGAGTCAGCAGAGGCAGGGGCTGCTCAGCGAGGCAACAGCCGGGCTGGTTCCTCCTCTATGAAGCTGCCACTTAACAAGTAGGTGTGAAGGGTGTTGGCACCGTGAACACTGTGCGGAAACAGACAGGAGATCCAAGGAGGCTTTCCTCTTTTCAGCGATCTGAAAGGGGGTGAAGTGTGGGGTGGTGATTTGGATCTCAGCTTTAGCTTCTTTAAAGAAAAAAAAATTTTATTCACTTTAAATATATACATTATATGTGTATATGTTATATTCATATATATATTATAAATATATACGTAAATAAGTTTATTCACTGTAAAGTGAAATAGTTGTTGTGTTTAACCATCTGCCAAATACCATCTTTTATCTTTGTCAGCTCTGTGACACATTAAGTTCTTATTGCTGATGTCACAGGAAAGCTAAATATAATCATATTAATAATAGTAACTCTCTTTTAAATGTTTTACCATTTGTTGATCACTTACTGTGTGCTGGGCATTGTGCAGCGTGGTTTGTACGCACTGTGTGACCCCCATCTCCCTCTGTGGTACATGTAATCTCTGTTTTTCTGTGGGAAAAACTGACGCCCAGAGAGGTTAAGGAACTGTTCAAGCTCACACAGGTGCCAAGTGATCTAATCAGGATCCTAGTCGATCCCTCAGTCTCTCAACTACTTGCCTAATACGTTTCAAGGCTTTGTTTTCATGTAGACTTCTCTTAGATTTAAGAAGAAAAAAAAGTGTTGGAACAGTACTTGTAGACACGGTGCCTAACAGGAAAGCATCTGGGAAGGGGGGGAATACGGCCATAGCACTCTGGGATTTCCTGGGGGAGAGTTCTGGATAAGTCTGTAGTTCACAGTGTAGCTCGAAGGAGACAGAATTTCTGACTTCCAGAAGGATCTTCAAATACTCTTCTTATAGTAGTGTGTTTAATACGGTTTTTCTAAAATTACGACCACTTTTTCTCAATGCTCCAAGTCCATGATTCAAAGCTGCTAGGAAGGAATGTTAATCCGTATCTGGAAAAGGTTGTAAACATAATGTTTGCTGTATTTCTAGATGTCAAGATCTAGGTCTAGATCTGCATATGAGTTGTGCAGGTTCCCCTTAGTATATCTAAATAGCATCAGATGATTAAATGAGCTGTCTTCTAGCCACACATTCTTCCTACTTCTCTCTCCACTTTCTTCCAGTATGTATTTTCAGGCTCCATTGCACACATAATAACCTTAGTCATTCGTATTGACTATGTGCTGTTTCCTTTGGTGGAATAGGAAGTTCTCAGTGTGGTCCGCAGTGACATAAATTAGTCTGTTCTTTAAACCTAAATACAAGTGCATTTAAACCCGTTTTGCTGCCATGTAAGCCCCCCTTGGACAGTGAGGAAGCACAAACTCTACAACAAATGTGTGGCCAAGTGTGCCTGGCTAGTCAGTGAGGTTCTGTCTCATGCCCGGGTCCCTGTTTCTGTTTGCCCTGGCTCCCCTCTTTCAAGTGATCTTGGGGAAGACAGGTGACCTGTTTGAACCTCCGTTTCCTCATCTCTGAAGTGAAGGGGATGGCTTTAATTTAAAATGCTCTCTGCTCTAAAATTTCAGTTCAGGTTGAAACCAAATCAGAGGAGTCCTCATTTGCACCTGAACCTCTGAGGCCTCCCTCTCTCTCTCTCTCTGTCTCTGGTGCTGAGAGCTGTTTAAGATCCTGTGTGTTTTTTTTATTTAACTTGACTCATGTATGAAGGGCTCACTTATAACAGTTGTAAAACTTTTTAAAGTATTAGCATTTTTCAGGAGTTAATCCATTTTATATGATAGCTGTATTCCAGTCCTGGAACATGAACCTTACACTAGAGAAGGAGAATAGAAATGTAAGTGTACTTGGGCATTATAAGAATCTATCTTGATAACACTCAGAGAATTAGTAAATGGCACTGCTGTTCGGTAAGTATTAAGTGAGTCGGCCCTAGAGTGTTGCTGTGATCCCTAAGAATACCAAAGGAAGTGTGAAATGAGACTCTGCACCCAGAAGCTTACAGTCAAGGAAATTGCCACTCTGTGACTTCCTCAATTTTTCCATCAGTATTTTCTAGCGGAAGCATAGGTTGTTTTAATGAAACCGTTCCAGGGGCCCCTGGGTGGCTCAGTCGGTTGAGCGTCCAACTTCAGCTCAGGTCATGATCTTGTGGTCCATGAGTTCGAGCTCTGTGTCAGGCTCTGTGCTGACGGTTCGGAACCTGGAGCTGACTTCTGATTCTGTGTCTCTCTTTCTCTCTGCCCCTCCCCTACTCGTGCTCTGTCAAAAACAAATAAACATTTAAAAAAATTTTTCTAAATAGAACTATTCCAGATGAGTCCATTAATTCATTAAGTATTTAGTGTATTTTTCCCACAACTCCTCTGGGTCCTGGAAATACAAATACCTTCTCCAAGGTGCTTCCGGTCGGCTATAATGTGTAAATGGATGATGGCAATTAAGTGTGATAAATTGTATAGCAGAAGTATGCTCAGAATGTTGAAGAAGCACAGAGAGAGCTAGCTGTACCAGAGGCTGTAGGGAATACTTTCAAAGAGATGATGGCATAGTTAGAAATAACTTTAATTTATGAGTATATTTGTGAGGCTCTTTATATAACTCTTACATTTAATTCCCTTATCGTCTTAAAAGGCAGGTCATATTGGTCTCATTCTTCACACAAGGAGACGGGAGCTCTAAAGGTTACATAGCTTTTAATTGTTGGAGTTGGAATTCGAACCCAAGGCCATCCAGCTCCTAGACCCCTCTTTGTTCTCTCTTGTATGAGCTATGTTTAAAGGATGTCTTAGGGAAAAGAGGATAGAGGTAGGTCCTTTGAAGATGAAGGAAAAGACAGGCCCCTGAGACCAGCATGTTGGCCTTTAATTTGGTATTTGAGTGGAATACAAGTAATGTAGTTGGTTTTTTATAGAAATAATACTTCTTTTCCTATTATAGGTATTTTGCTTTCTGAGGGTCTTTTTTTCCTGCTTATTAAAAACATTTCTGAAACCCAAATTAATCTTGCCCTCTTTAGCACTTTGGCGGGCGGGGGAGGGGTGGGGGGGGTGCCTGGGTGGCTCAGTCAGTTAAGTGTCCAACTTGAGCTCAGGCCATGTCTATCTCACAGTTGGTGAGTTTGAGCCCCACATCGGGCTCGCTGCTGTCTCCATCTCTCTGCCCCTCCCCATCCCCTTTCAAAAATAAACATTAAAAAAAAAAAAAGAAAGAAACCTCTTAAAATAAAATAAAAATAAAAACAAATCTTTAAAAAAAAAGTAGCACTTTGGATGGCTATATGTTTATTCCAGTGTTTCTCCAATTTTAGAATGTGTGTGGAGTCTCTTTACTAAGGAGACCGGTTTTCTTTTGTGTCCCCTAAACCAGGTCTGAAGATAATCCAAAAGGAAATGGCACAAGTACTTATGGACAGCGACAGCTTCTTTGGGATAATTGTGGCTTCCTTGAGGGAATATGTCAAAAGGCAGCTTTAATTTGGATATAAAAATGCTGGCATGTGGCCACTGGCCCATGTGTTCAACTCAGATGGCTGTTCTCGGTACTTTCTCCTCCTGTGCCCTGGGGGACGTTTTTCTAGGCTGCCCTTCACTCTTTGTGGGGTGATAGAGTGTTTCAGATCCAGTTAAGCAAATAGAGTACCCATAAATATCACACCTTCTGGAGTCAAACTGTTCTCTGACCAGATAAAGCTTAATTAAATGACTAATTGGCCATTGAACAATCTGATTACATTAGGTTTCATTTACCACAGTTTCCTAGTCCTGGTACATCTGAAAGACAGAACAAGGTTAAAACTGTTGTATTAAGTAAATGTGGACAAGAGTTGGAGAGTTCCTCTCAGGAAACACGTAAGACTCACGGGCATTTATCTTCATGATCAGATTTCCCGGATTTGCAAAACCTGGTATGGAACAGTATTTGTTGGCCAAGCAACTAGCAAAACCCAAAGAGAAAATTCCTATCATTGTAAGTTCATTCACTTTTGTTTGCTTGCTTCGTTTCTAATTAAGCTCTTTTATAATGCTTGAAAGCCTAGAGGGTTATTAGTCTTTTGGAAGGTATTTTTAACACATCTAATGCTCCAGGTAACTGACAATATGTATTAGTATTGTAAGAATACTAAAAATATTTAGCATACATTAATGCCTGTCATTATGTTGTTTAGGTATATTTTATTTTTACTTTTAAGACTATTAGTAATTGAACCAGCAGCACCTATAGCATATTTTTGTTCAATAATTTTTTTTCTCCAAAGTGTCTTGAAGTATCTTTTATATACTGTCTTTCTACCAGCCCTATATATTTAGCTAACAAATCCTAATCCAGATATTTAGGTCTCTGCCCTGGCAAAATACAAGCATATTATCAAAATAAAATGTTCTTTCCACTGCATTGGTGACAGTTAGCTTTTTCTTCCAATAAACCAGCTGTCAGGTCACAATAAGGAGCTAGCAAATAAAAACTGGGAGTTGGTGACACCATTAAGAATCTCTCTCAAAGAATAACTTGATTATTACATAATGTGACACGGGCTCTCTGGTTTCACCCAAATGTTGACTGCTGATAGATTTTCTGTCTAAGCATTATCTAACTTCTGGAAAAGAGAATTCTGGCTGTCTTTTGATCCTATGGACTTGACCTAGTAACTGTAGGACAGGGATGGAGGTGGGAGTGGGGGCCTTGGGTGTGATCACCGTAGGCCCAACAATAGGAGGTGGAAACACCTGGTCTCATTCTATAATCTCTGGGTCCTGGGAAACTTGATAGAACTGCAAAACTGATCATTGGATTTATTTTTATTGTGTTCCTACATCTTTGAAAAGCTTGAAATCCTAGAAACTCGAGAAAGAAGGGCTGCAAGCAAGAGCCCCTTTTATCCCTTTCCCACAAAGCAAATTTGGGGTAATTACCTTCTGAGTGGTTAGAGATTATTTTAATTTTTAAATTTTTTCTTCAGATTTTTTTTATGTAACTTCTGAACATACATTATTTTGTTTTTTCGTTAAATTTAAAACTCCACAGGACTGGAGCCCACGGCCCTGCCCCTCAGATCCTCAAAAGGGACTTTATCACAAGCCCAGAAGGGTTGGAATGGAGCTGAGGGACCCATAGGTTATAGGTAGAAACGGCCCCTGAACCCTGTAGGCGGGCCTGCCCAGGCAGGCTCCTGGCATGAAAAGGGAAGCCGAGGAAAAATGCCTTCAAGTCTTCAGAAAACTGAGAGAAAGCAGAGATGTGGTTCTTTGCTTTTGAGGCACAGCAACTCTACCCACTAAGAAAATTAAAAGCCTCTGGATATTGGGCCCTAGTCGATCGGAGTTACCTCTCTCGGTCTCAGTCACTGAGAGACACTCCCCAGAGGCTCCTGCTCCACAGCTTTCAGAGAGTTTTCTGGATCTGAGCTCCCTCTCAAGGAGTCATAGTAGCTCCTTGTCAAGGTCTTCCGTTTAGTCCTCCAGTAAGATTGTTTGAGCCCTGGTCACCCTCCTGACCTCATAACCTCTGAACTTTGATACACCACCCCACTTTTTCCTCCTTCCACCTTTAGAAAGAATTAGGACTGAACATGCAGAACATGAGAGTGAGCCTTGAAAGAATTTGATGGCAGTTTGATGTTGTTGAGACATCCAGGTGTGTAATTTTGTATTTCACAAAACCATCAGTCTGTGACAGATCGGAAACGTTTTAAAACTAGCCCGTCAACACATACGACTAGGACCACTGAATGGGAGAGAGGAAAACTGTGTTCCATCCTGCCCTCTCCCAGGAGAGGGAGGCAGACATCTCTCCTCCGTGGCCTGAGATGCCCACATGGGGAGCAGGAGGGTTTGTCCTGGCAAGTGTGTTCTTTAATACATAATCTTATCAGGAACAGGGAGCGTTTACATAACTTCTCAGAGAAGAGCAAGAATGATCCTCCAAAGGACCTCTAGTCCTCTAGTCCTAAAAATCCTTTAATGACTTATATCTAGCATATTGACTATTTTTGCATGTAACAAAATCACCTCTCCCTGGAACATTGTGTAGGTTGGAGATTATGGCCCAATGTGGGTTTATCCTACCTCTACGTTTGACTGTGTGGTAGCAGATCCCAGGAAAGGCTCCAAAATGTATGGTCTGAAGAGCTACATTGAATATCAGCTAACACCTACTGTGAGTATCTGAGTTATCAAAACAGAATCGTGCCTGTGTTCCTAGCTACACTTTGCTTTTTTCTTCATTTTCTATAGTTGGCATTGGTAACATTTTCTTCTCTCTCCCTTGCATTATAGAACACTAATCGATCTGTAAACCACAGGTATAAGCACTTTGACTGGTTATATGAGCGTCTCCTGGTTAAGTTTGGGTCAGCCATTCCAATCCCCTCTCTTCCGGATAAACAAGTCACAGGTGAGTGCATGTGACCTTCAACTCAGGATGACAAGTAACAAGACTGCAGATAGAGCATCTGTCCTAATGGAAATCAGTAATGACATTTTCCATCTTCTAGAAGAACAACATATGTGTTTGGAAACAGTAGCTAAGTGTTGTACATCCATGTATACTGGACAGACATTTGGAAGTTACCTAAACATCTAATAAGAATATTGCCTAAAATTGTTTGAGTTCTTGCATACACATCTTAAGTTGTAGCGGTCATTGTGTCTTTATTGCTACATGATTTCCTGTAAAAGAAATACGTGACTTTTTTCAATGTGAAAAGTGACACCTGAGAAAATAGGAATGCTCCAAACAACCTGAAATGGAAATAACAATGTATGATCCAAATGATGTAAACCTGTCATGCAGTTCAGGTGTGTTATTTTCATGAGAAGTATGTAAATATCAGATGTTGTAGAAGCCACAGACCTTCTAAGGATTAACGTAAGAAGCTGCAAAGTTGTTTACTCCGTTACTTTGGTGACAGATAATGTTTAAATGTTTTTGTTTACTGTTGATCATCACTCTCTGCCTTAATTATTCAAAGTGTCCTATTTCTCCTGTTTGTTTCTCCTACACCCCCTGCCTCAACTGATCAATATGGTCAAGATCAATATCAATATGGTCAAATGATCAAACGGTCAGTAATTCACAGTGCTCTGAAAGCCCCTTGTAAAAATGCACTTAGAGAGTATTTGTTTCTCTCTGCTTTGAGAACTGTCACTGGTTTTTGTTTTTTTTTTGCTTTTTTAATCTGCAACCCGGTATAGACCCTGGAATAGTAGTACTCAGAACTCCGTATGTTTGTCTTGGAATAAAACTGTGTAAAGAGGCTGAACTTCACTAGAGATTAGAGTTTTAAAATGCGGCCACAAAACTTGCAACTAAATGAAACTAGTAAGAATAGAAAGGGAAGGATCCAAGATGAGAGCAGGGCCTAAAAGGTCAGTGCCAGAGAGGCTCCACGTCATATACCCCGAACGGCTAACCGGAACTCGGGGGGAGGAAGTGTGGAATCTGGGCAGGAGGACTTCTTTCCTGGAGGTCAGGGAAAACCGGAGAGGGTTTAGTCCTCACTCAGCCAGAGCGGAGGTGGAGAGCTGGGAGACGGATGGGGACTCCAGGAGCCAGATGGCCGAGCCAGCACCAGGCACTTGCGGCGTTGGGGTGAAGCCACCTGCCTGCCAGGGGTCACGTGTCCCCGTGTGCCGCTCCGTGCTTTCTCACGGCCGAGGCACTCGATGCCGCTGAAACAGGCGCTTGAATCTGATTACAGATTGTTCTTTTGACGTCACAGGATGTGTATCAGCTAGTCATTAGCCAGAATTCGTTACCTCGGGTAAGACGGTTACAATCTCCTTAAAACTTGGTGCTGTATTTTGTCGTGTATTTAGGTTTCTCTGAAACTGTTGGAGGAGATGGAAGGTTTTGTTTTTAAAGAAGTTGTTTTGATTGTGACTTTCTTTTTTTTTTGGAAAACTTTTCAAAAATTTCCAATGGTAGCAGAGGGGTGAGTGGGGCTGCATTGCCAAGTACGTGACAGACCCGTCCTGGCACTCATCTGGGTGGCTCCTGAGCGGGCCCTCCTGGGGGGGGGGGGGGGGGGGGGGGGGTTGGTTGCTGAGTGAAGGCCACGTCAGGGCGGCCAGGTTGGCGCAGATTGTCGCTTCCTCCCCCCGCCCCCCACCCCGCAGAGGTGTCCCGGGTTCTGTGCCCAATCCAGATACTCACTCTTCCTCCTTTTTGTCACCCTTATTGTTTGAAATCACAGCTTTCCTTTTTCAAATTTCACTCCATTTCCTTGAAAACTTCAGTTCTGCCTTTCTCCTTGTTTTCAAATTTCAGTCTGTTTCCCTGAATTTTAGCATTCTCCTTTATCAACTTGATTGGCACAATATGGGTTTCATGGTGTCTAAGGAGCTGTTTCGAGGCTGTGGGGATTTCTCACATCTTTTAGGTTTTAATACATTGTTTTCTCTGAATCCGATAACTCAGTGCTATTTTAAAGCATCAGAGAGCCACACAGTTCCGCCCCCAAACTAAGGTTTGGTTTTTTTAAAGCTCAGGCCCGAAGCCAGAGGGATGTCATAGAAAGCAAGAAAGCAACAGCCGCTCAGTCTGAAGAAAGTTGAGCTTTGATTCTCTGACTGGGACATGTGCCGAGGAAACTGAAAAGCACAGAAGCCACTTTATCTGTCCCCTCTCTCGTTTGCCTCCTGCCTGTGATACCCACAAGATCATTATTATATAAACCCCCCTCTCACTTACATCCTGGAGGGAAGAGAAAGGAATGCCAAGTGGATGATCTCATGATATTTCTGTGCCCTTGATAATCCATCCATGAGGAACTTACAGCTAACAGTTTTAGTTTGTTGAGAGATTTTGTTCTCTGTGAAATAATATTGAACAAATCTGGTTTTTTTCCTGGATGCCAAACTGGTATACTCACGTACTCGGTGAAAGCCTAAGTCAGGTTCATTGAAAATGTAGAATCGGAAATCCCCCTCCCCCCGACCTTCGTTCCAGTTTTCTGGAACCTGGTAGGAAAATCCTAACAAGCACAAAATAATACCTGAAGTCAGAGTTTGAAAATAAACCAGCGACCTCAGAAAATTTTTCAGGAGGAGTAAGCATTAATTAATTCGTTAATTAATTTCAGGCAAGGAGTAGGTTTTTAACTCTTGGTATAATTCACTTTCTCACGTGGAGAATTCAATATAGCCCAGCTTCATGCGGACTCACTGGGTCTCTTCTGCCAGGAGGTGAGTCATCTTCTTTCCAAGGGATGAGACTTTGTTTCTTCATAGTCTTATTAGCTTCTATACCATTTAATCTCTACTGAGATTTGAAAATTTTGAAGTATTTTAATATATAGGAAGTGTCCTGATCCATCGTGCTGTTTGGGTGACTCTTTCTGAGGTAGTGAGTTTTTGCGGTATGGATCCGGAATGCTCTTCTCTCTAAAGAAAGTTGTGCTTATTTGTACTGGTCATCTCTAAAGGAAAGGCCAGCCTGTAGTTTTTAAGTTTATTTTCAAACGTACATACAGTAAATTAACTCCTTTTGGTGTATAGTTTTAGGAGTTTTGGGACACCTGGGTGACTAGTCGGTTAAGCATCCTACTCTTGGTTTTGGCTCAGGTCATGATCTCACGGTTCATGAGTTCGAGCCCCACATCAGGTTCTGTGCTGTCCATGTGGAGCTTGCTTGGGATTCTCTCTCTCTCTCTCTCTCTGCCCCTCCCCTGCTCTCTCTCTTTCTCTCTTTCAAAATAAATAAACTTAAAACCAAAAAGTATTAAAAAAAAAAAAGTTTTGACAAGCACTATGGTCTTATAACCACCACTACATTCAAGGTACAGGAAGTCCCCCCACCTCCCCAAATTCCCTTGGGCTTGCCCCTTTATCTTCATCCCCTCTCCCCAGTTCTAACCCATGGCAACACTGGTGTGTTCTTTGTCTCTATAGTTTTGCCTTTTCCAGAATATCATTATAAATGGAAGCATATAGGCCTGAGAAAGCAAGAAAAATCTCATACGACCCAACCTTACTCCTAAAGGAGTTAGAAAAAGAAGAACAAACGAAGTCTAAAACCAGTAGAAAAAAGGAAATAATGCAGAGCAGAAATAAATGAAATAGAAACTAAAAGAACAGTGGAACAGATCAATGAAACTGGGCGGGGGGGGGGGGCTTAAAAAAATTGGTTGCATACAGTGTGTACTCTTTCAATTATGGCTTCTTTCTCTTGGCGTTTGGCGTTGTGCATTTGAGATACACGCAAGATGTGTGCATCAGTTTCTTTTTATTGCTACTTCCATAGTTTGTTTCTCCATTCACTCGTGAAAGGTATTTGGGTTTTCAGTTTGGGGCATTTATAATAAAGTTGCTGAAAACATTTACATGCAAGTTTTTGTATTAAGCGTAAGTTGTCATTTCTCTTGGGTGAATACCTGAGAGTGGAATGACGGGGGCATTTGGCAGGCATATGTTTCATGTTTAAGAAATTGCCAAACTGGGGTATGTGGGCGGCTCAGTAGGTTAGGCGTTCGACTCTTGATTTCGGCTCAGGTCACCATCTCGCAGTTGTGAGATCGAGCCCCGCATTGGGCTCTGCACTGAGCATGGAGCCTGCTTGGGATTCTCTCTCTCTGCCCCTCCCCCCTCAAAAATAAAGAAATAAGCATTAAAAAAAAGAAAGAAAGAAAGAAATTGCCAAACTGTTTTCCAAAGTGGCTGTACCGTTTCGGAATCCCCACCAGCAGTGGATGAGGGTGTCAGGAGCCCCACATCCTTGCTTGCGCTTTTGGTAACGTCAGTTTTTCTTTATTTTAACCATCTATTAGGTATGTAGTGGTACTTCATCATGGTTTTAATTTGCATTTCCCTTATAACTACTGTTGAGCATCTTTTCATGTGCTCATTTCCCTTCCATATATTTTCTTTGGTGAAATGTCTGTTTGAATCTTTTGCCCATTTCTTATTAGGTTGTTTTTTTCATTACCGAATTTTGAGAGTTCTTTACATTCTGGAAATAATATAATCTGCAAATAATTTGTCCCGGGTGTGGCTTATCTTTCTCTTAACAGTGTTTTTCGCCTAACAAAAAGCTTTTAATTTTAATGAAGTTCAGAGTACCAATTGTCTCTTTTATGGATTGTGCTTTAGGTATCATGGTGAAAACCTGTATGCCTAATCCAAGTTCACGCTGTTTTCTTCAGAAGCTTGTGTAGTTTCAGGTGCATTTTGAGTTAGTGTTTGTGTAAGATGCGAGGTATAATAAAGTAGAAGTTTATGTTATGCATCTGGATATCCAGTGATTCTGGCACTACCTGTTGGAAAGGCTGTCCTTTCTCTGTTTATTTCCTTTGCATTTTGTCAAAAATCAATTGAGCATATTTGGTGGGGTTTTTTTAATGTTTTTTTTAATGTTTATTTACTTTTGAGAGAGAGACAGAGACAGAGCATGAGCCGGGGTGGGGCAGAGAGAGAGAGGGGAAGACACAGAATCCGAAGCAGGCTCCGGGACCTGAGCTGTCAGCACAGAGCCCCACGCGGGGCTCGAACTCACGAACCGTGAGATCATGACCTGAGCCGAAGTCAAACGCTTAACTGACGGAGCCACCCACGTGCCCCAATTTGGTTTTGTTTCTGGGCCGTATTCTCTTCTGTTTTGTGTCCATCCTTTTGCCAATACCACAGTATCTTGATTCATGTAGCTCTATAGTAAATCTTTAAATCAGGTAGTATAAATCCTCCAACTTGGTTCTTTTTCAAAATAATTTCAGGCTGTTTTTCTTTTGCCTTTCCAAATAATTTAAGAGTCCATTTGTAGATATTTGTAAAAAAATCATGCTGGGACTTTGGTATATATACAGTTCGTAATTGTTATATCTTCCTAATGAGCTTTTTTTTCTCTAGTGAGATTTCCTGTGTTAAAATCTGTTTTGTCTGATGTTAACATAGTCACCCCAGTTCTCTTACAGTTACTGTTTGCATGGCATATCTTTTCTCATCTTTTACTTTGAATCTGTTAGTGTCTTTGAATCTGTATCTCTTGTTGACAGCATCATTGGAGCTTGCTTTTTTATCAAGTCTCACAACCCCTGCGTTTTGATTAGAGTTTTCACACCGTTTATATTGAATAATTATTGACCCAGTTAGATTTATGTTTGCCATTTTGATATTTGTCTTCCATGTGTCTTCTTTGTTCCTCCTTTAGTGCCTTTCTTTTGCGTTAAATATTTTCCAATATGCTGTTTTAATTTCTCTCACTTTTCCACTAAATTTTAAAAATTATGTTCTTAGTGGTTACCTCGGAGGATACTACGTGCATCTTTTTTTTTAAACTTTTTTTTAATGTTTAGTTTTGAGAGAAAGAGACAGAGTGCGAGTGGGGGAGGGGCAGAAAGAGAGGGAGACCCAGAATCCTAAGCAGGCTCCAGGCTCTGAGCTGTCAGCACACAGCCCAACACGGAGCTCGTACCCACGAACCATGAGATCATAACCTGAGCCGAAGTCGGGCGCTCAACTGACTGAGCCACCCAGGTGCCCCTGTGTACATCTTTTTTGTAATGTTACAATGCACTTCAGATTAATACTCAATTCTAATAAAATTGATAGAAACTCTTCTCCATTATAGCTCTGATTCCCTCTTTTTATGCTACTGTCATCATATATATCATAAATCCAGCAATATTGTATGATAATTATTGCTTTCTACAATCTTATGTCTTCTAAAGAAGAGAAGAAATTAGAAAAGAATACATATTTTATGTTAGCGCACATATTCCTGGTGCTCTTCATTTCTCCCTGTGAATTTAGGTAATTTCCTTTTAGCCTGATGTAGTATTTTTTTTTAACTTGAAGGGCTTCTTCTCGTATTTCTTTAATACAGCTCTGCTATCAGTTAATTCTCTCATTTTTGTTCATCTGAGAATGTCTTCATTTTGCCTTTATTTTTGAAGGATAAGTGTGCTGGTTATAGAATTCACAGCTGACTGTTTTCCTTCAGCATGATGAATATGTCTTTCCGTTGCTTCTGACCTCCTTTGTGTCAGATGACAAATCAGTCAGTTCTTTTGATTACACACACACACACACACACACACACACACACACACACACACACGAGCACATTCCACTATACAAAATGAGTCATTTTTCACTTGCTGCTGTCAGGGTTTGTTTCTGTCTTTCGACAGTTTGATTCTGCTGTATCTTGGTGTGGATTCATCCTCATATTTATCCTATCCAGGTTTGTTGAGCGTCTTGGAAATGCAGATTAAAATTTTCCATCAAATTTGGGAAACTTTCCCTTTTATTTCTTCACATATTTTTTTTCTTCTTCTCCTTTGTGGACTCCCACTGCAAGTATGTTCACGTGTTTTGTTTTCTGAAGCATGGTTCATCCATTTTTTTCTCTCTGTTCTTCAGATTAGATAACTTTTTTTTTTTACTACTTATAAATTTTTTTTAATATGAAATTTACTGTCAAATTGGTTTCCATACAATACCCAGGGCTCATCCAACAGGTGCCCTCCTCAGTGCCCATCACCCACACCCCCCCTCCCTCCCACCCCCCATCAACCCTCAGTTTATTTTCAGTTTTTAAGAGTCTCTTATGGTTTGGCTCCCTCCCTCTCTTTTTTTTTTTCTTCCCCTCCCCCATGGTCTTCTGTTAAGTTTCTCAGGATCCACATAAGAGTGAAAACATATGGTGTCTGTCTTTCTCTGTATGACATATTTCACTTAGCATAACACTCTCCAGTTCCATCCACATTGCTACAAAAGGCCATATTTCATTCTTTCTCATTGCCAAGTAGTATTCCATTGCATATATAAACCACTATCTTCAGATTCACTGATTCCTTCTTCCGCCGTCTTGAATCTGCATTTGAGCCTCTACAGTGAATTTTTAATTTCAGTTACTGTATTTTCAGCTCTAAACATTTCATTCTATTTATTTGTAAGTTCTTTTTCTAGAGAATTTTTATTGTTTGATTCCGTGTCCTATTTCTCTGCATTTTTAAACATGACTTTAGCTCTTTGAATGTATTTCTGGAAGCTGCTTTGCCTGCTAAATTCAACATCCAGGGACACTTTAGAGATGGTTTCTGTTGACTACTTTTTTGTCGGTATGGGTTATACCTTGCTTTTTCTCTGCATATCTCTTAATTTTTTGTCAAAAACTGAAAATTTTAGACTATTTTAGCAATTCTCAATTCTGATTTTTCATCTCTGAAGGTTGTTGTTTCTACTTTATGTTTATTTGATTGTTTGGGAAGTAATTTGCTTAGGCCAAGTCTCTGAATTGTCTCTCCCCTAAAGTTCAGTTATTTTTATTTTTTCTTTTAAGTTTGGCTCCCTGGGGCTCACCCTTGTGTCTGTGTAGATTAGCAGTGAGCCTGCCTCAAGCCAGTACGGCTTCTGTCCTCTGCTGATGGATCTTTGGGTAGGGGAGTGCATTCAAAGATCAGGTAATTTTCAAGTTAGCCACCCTGGCTTTTACTTTTTTGCGGACCTTTTGTGTCTCCTTTACAAGTGTGTGCAGCCTCAGAATTGGCCAGGAATGTGTGGCTGACTCCGATTCCATCTGGTCTCCACTGTTTCTGCACACAGCCTCAGTCCAGAAAATGCTTGGCTGGACCACGCAACCTTGGCTAGTGGGGTCATCGGCCCTCTCTGTTCCCCAGCCTCTGGATTGTCACTGCCACCACCACTGAGTATGAGCACGTCCCCCTGCTCCAGGTCAAGTGAGCCTTTTTCCTCGCCAGGGAACCTGCAGTGGCCAGCCTTCACATTCACAGTCTGCTCTACACTGTCAGAACCTCCATGTCAACCAGGGAGAGGGTGGGGAGGTACAGGGGCCACAGGGGAGATGAGAGCATTCCCACACCAGACAGAACGCCACAGATTTCCATAAAGTTCAGCAGTTTTGCAAGTATAAACACTTCTCACATGGCTGTTTGCCTTTGGTTGATTTCCAGAACACTTATTTTTGGTTCTGGGTTCTGTCCAGCTTTATAATTGTTTGGGGGGGATGGGAATAGCTGATTGCCTCACTCAACTGTAGCTGGTATTTTCATCTCCAGGAGCCTTTTAACGAACAGAGATTTTGATTGGTAGACTTAAAACATTTTCAGTGTTCACTTGATGTTTGGTATGTCAGGCTTGTTAGGCTGATTTCCTGCTTTTAAAACAGAAACATCACTCATTTGGCTATGTTTTAGAATGGTCATAAGTTCTGGGATAGTAGCTTTACTGCATCCGTGGAAAAATTGCTTTTTCTATTTTTGGTTTAAGTACGTTAAAAAACAATGAAATAAAGAGCTACGGTCTTGAGCTACTTTTCATAAATACTAAATTTGAGGTTATATTGCATTTGGACACATTTTTATAGATATAAAAATTTTACACACTTTGTAAGGATTACTTATTAAATTCCATTCTTTCACGCCTTTCTGCCTACAGACTTCATATGGCCACGCAGGACTGGCATAGTCTTAGTTTATCAGAAAGAGGAAGTTTTTCATACTTAGATAAGATTTGCTTCTAAATTTGTTGAATACTCAGGGATCCTTGAAGAAAATAGTACTTTGTAGCTGTGATTTTTCTTGTCACAGCTACAAAATTTGTTAATCTGTTAAATCAGAATCTCATCCTTAAAAACTAAAAAGCCTGTTGTATCTCTTTCCTGTAGCTCTTTGAGCATCCGCTGTGTTACAGCTTGTTTTTAGGTTAGTGTTTTTAGTTTAGTGAAAGATCACTTGTACTAAATAACTTTCTACCAAAGACCCAGTAGATACAAACGGCTTTCATTTGTGCTGACAGTAATCCGCTTTAGACAGGGGTGTATATCACTCTTGTCCACCTTGCAGGTCGCTTTGAAGAAGAATTTATCAAGATGCGCATGGAGAGACTTCAGGCATGGGTGACCAGGATGTGTCGTCACCCAGTCATCTCAGAAAGTGAGGTTTTCCAGCAGTTTCTAAATTTCCGAGATGAAAAGGTAGGACCTTTTGTTATGACAGTCATCGATCATATTGAGAATTGTCACATTCATACCAATTTTATGTCTGAAAGTTAAAATTATGTTGACTCGCTATTTCTCATTTCCTCCAAAGACAATGAGGGGACAGAAACCTAAATCCTAAGCATGGGAAATTAGTCATGAGAATGTGGAAGAACCGCTTGCTAGACTGGTTTTCCATCAGCTGGGAATGGATTGGACCAGAGTGGGCAGGAGGTGAAGGATATGATGGGACGAGGAATGAAAAGTTTTCCCGGATGCTTTTAGAAATAGGATAGGCCCCAAACTATGCAGGATATTATTAGTGTGAAGTGAGGGAAACAGAGTGAATGATTTCTTAAGATCACATTTTGACCTTGCAGTGTAATAACGTTATGAAACAAAAAGTAGATTCAGCATTGGACCAGCCTTCTCCAAGCCAAGGCGTTTTTCCAGAACGGTAGTCACAAGTCCAGACTAAATGCTGGTCTCCCTTTGTCCTGGAGATAGTCATTCTGCCAATGGCCATGTATTCTTTGTGGAAGGTCAAGAAACCATTGGCTGTTTAACATCTCATTATTGTCTGCTTTGGAGATGGTTCTCTCTCTCCATAAACTTTTGCTCTAAATCGTACCTTTTTGTTCTGAAAGATGTTTTCTCCATGTTTCTCTTACAACAAAGATGACATATCTTAGAAAGCAATGTAAAGAATAAAAGCATAAGTTTTTATAGGAGATAGGAAATATATTACAGTCCTAGAAAAAAAGTCATGAAATTATTTTCGTGTTTTATTAAATTAAATACCGGAATATTGTGTACTTTGTTGGAACTTTCAGGCAGAGATTTACTTGCTAAACTGCTTTGTAGTACTTTTCCCTTGTTAACATGAACACATTTATAATAAGTGTAAATAATCAGGCTCTGTGTATGTTTACAGACCTACGCATACACTTAATATTGTGCAATTATTTGGGCCTTATTTTCAGTTACTGCTTATTTCTAGAATTGGCAGGCTTATTTGAGTGTGTGGCATGTAACCAGGCCAGGAACTAGAAAACACTGAGGTGCTTCAGCAATTTTTGGTCAAGATTGTAGGTCTAGACTTGCACCTGCTTGTGTCCATCAGTTCTGTTACTGTGGAGACACAAAAACTGCATGGAATCCCTTCCCAACTTTCTTGCCTTGCTGGTACCCACAAGGCTCAAACAGAAGTCCTGATTTTCCAAAGATTTGATTTAGAAAGCGCTTCTAAAGGTTGTGTTCAATACAGAATATTATTATTTAAAAAAAAAGAAACCTGGACACTGGGGCTTTAGGATTTGATATAATAGGAAGAAGAAAGAAGCTGGGAGTCAGGACACCTGAGCTCTAGTCTGGGCTCTGCTGCAGGCTCCCTCTGCGATCTTGGCCTCGGCATTTGATCTCTTTGGGTCACAGTTTCTTCACCTGCTAAATGAGGGTGTAAAACTAGATACTCACTGAAAGCTGTGATTCTTTGGCCAGAAATAGCTCATGTAGATGGATGGACGTAGGTAATCCCAAAGACCCGAGGAGAAATTATTAGAAATAAGTGGTTAGAAGATAGCTGGATGCAAGACAGCACATATTTGCATACCAGCAATAAACACAAAATGAAAATCTAAAAAAAAACTATCACAGTAGCATCAAAAATATATCTAGGAATAAATACAAGAAAATGTACAAAAACTCTACATAAGAAGCTTTGATGTGGTGGTTCCTGGGTGGCTCAGTTGGTTAAGCATCCAACTCTTGATTTCAGCTCAGGTCATGATCTCACTGTGAGATTGAGCCCCATGTCGAGCTTGTGCTGACAGTGCAGAGCCTGCTTGGGATTCTGTCTCGCCCTCTCTCTCTGCCCGCCCCTGCTTGCATGCGTGCGCTCTCTCTCTCGCTCTCTCTCTCTCGCTCTCTCTCTCTCTCTCTCTCAAAATGAATAAACTTAAAAATAAAGCTATAAGGAGTGCCCGGATGACTCAGTCGGTTAAGCATCTGACTCCTGGTTTGGCTTAAGTCATGATCTCACAGTTAGTGAGATTGAGACCAACATCGGGCTCAGTGCTGACAGCTTGGGATTTCTCTCTCCTCTCTCTCTGCCCCTTCCCAGCTTGCTCACTCTCTCTCTGGCTCTCTCTCTCTCAAAAAATAAATAAGTAAACCTTAAAAAAAAAAAAAGCTGTGAAACATTTTTGAGAGAAATAAAAGAAAACCTAAGTGTTCCATGGAATTGGGGAACAGAAAAGATGCCACAGGTGGAAAATCAGAGCACCAAGAATAGCCTAGCCAAGGTACCCTTGAAAAAGAATGAAGTAGGAAGAGGGCTTTATTGGATATTAAGACCTGTTATAAAACTAAACTAACTTTAAAAGCATGGCATTGGCATAAGGCCAGACAAATAGATCAGTGGAACAGAATAGAAGGGACACGATGTGAGGCAGAGATGGTACAAAGTCCAGTGGGGATAGGACAGTCTTTCCAGTGAATGGTGCTGGGTCACTTGGGTGGCTTCATTGGGGAAAAATGAAATTTGGTCCCTACCGCACAACAGTCTACTATGGATTTTGTTAGGGTTGACATTGGTGTTGTGATTATGTATTTTGAAAATGTGGTCTTCTGTATTAAAGTCATATAATAGCCTTCTCTATATAAGGTATTTATAGGTGAGGGGCACCTGGGTGGCTCAGTTGGTTAAGCATCCAACTGCGGCTCAGGTCACGATCTCAAAGTTCATGGATTCAAGCCCTGCATCAGGCTCTGTGTTGACAGCTCAGAGCCCGGAGTCTGCTTCTGCTTCTGTGTGTGTGTCTCTCTCTCTCAAAAATAAATAAACATTTAAAAAAAAAAAAAGGTATTTATAGGTGAAATGATACCATATCTGGGACTTCCAATAAAATCAAGGAAAAAAATGCAGAATGGAGGAGAATAGAAAAAACAAGATTGGCAAATGTTGATATTTGTTTTGCAGTTGAGTCTGAGAGGGGAACTATTAGACTTTTCTGTGTACTTTTATATGTATTTGGAAGTTTCCATTGTATAGAGTTTTTAAAAAAATCATTTCCAGGTGGTTTGCAAGTCTAATGTGAAAAGCAACACATAAAGCTTCTAGAAGGTAACATAGGGGAATATCTTCATACCCCTAGTGGAGGGATGGATTTCTGAAATATGACACAAAAATGACTAATCACACAGGAAGAGGTTGATAAATTAGACTGCATTAAAATTAAGAACAGCTGTGTATCAAAAGAAGCCTTTAAAAGTGAAAAACAAGCTAAAGTTACGAACATTTAGAACCAACTAAAGGGCTGCCTTTTAGAATATAGGAAAACACATACAAATCCGTAAGAAAGATAATCAGCCCAGTTGTAGGGTTGACTTGGTAATGTACTTCACAAAAGACAGTATCTCAGTCATCAACGAATGTATGGGAAAGTACTTAATCTCATTAGTCATCACGGAAATGCAAATCAGAAGTACCGAGAATAGTACTACCCACTAGCCAGAAATGGCTGAATTAAAAACCTAGCGTCTTAGTGAGCTCATTCACACCTGCTGGTGGGTGTGCAAATGGGTAAGACCAGTTTGGAAAGTCACCCAGCGTTACCTACTAGGGCGAACATTTTCTGCCCGCATCGGGGCACATGTACATAACATCTTGCTCAACCACCGCCCTCCTGCCCGCAGGGCCTCGGGTGGCTACCCGTAGTAGAATGAACAAACTGGGGAGTGTTCAGGCAAGAATGGAACCAATGACCTGTGGCTCCACCAACAATGTGGCTGTAGCTCCTAAGCACGGGTTGAGCCAAAAAAGCCAGACACAAAGAATACATGGTAGGGTGGTCTTCACCAGCTCGGAAACCCAGCCAACCTACCCATGAGGGACTTGTGTCTAGAGGGTATAACTTGAAAGAAAAGTGAGGAACTGGTAACTATAAAAGAGGATAGTGGTTACCTTTGTGGGGGAGGGCAGGGGTCAGGACTGGGAAGGGACACGAGGGGCCTTCTGGAATGCCAGCTTGTTTCTCTTGGCCTTGGGGTAGGTTACACAGCTATTATCTTACACTTTGTGAGAATTGGTCGCACTGTATATTATGGCTTTAGGCGCTTTTCTGTGTGTGTGTGTGTGTAGATCTTTATAGATCTGTCTTACAAAAAAAATTTTTTTTTTAAAAATAGCTCATAATATTGGTTCCTATCTTATATTTTAGAAAAGGTTTCACCTTTTTTAAGAAAACATTTAACCTAAAACTTTGAGGTACTTGGTCAGGAATATAGGGTGTTTTCGTGTTCACTGTTATATTACTGTGCGTTGGGAAAGGATAGGGATTGAGTCCCCTCGCTCTGAAGGGACTTGGGCTCACAGGGACCGTTCTGCACATTGGCACGTGTTTCGTGTACAGAGATTACATCTGGAGTGTGCACACTCCCTCAGTGGAGAGGGCAATGGCATGGGAGCTGCTGTCGACAATTAGAAAGATAGTCAGTGAGCCAATCGCATTAGGGAGTTTTGAAAGACTGTGCTGTCCGCAGTAACATTATAATGTTCTTATTTGCAGGAATGGAAAACTGGGAAGAGGAAGGCTGAGAAAGACGAGCTGGTAGGAGTTATGATCTTTTCCACCATGGAACCAGAGGCCCCTGACTTGGACTTACTAGAAATGTAAGAGAGATCAGCCTTTCCTTCCTCCCAAACCTGTGTCCACCTCCTGTGCTCACAGGCTGGGGAGGCTGTGGTTGGATGATGGGGAGCACATCACTTGTGCAGGGAAGCGTTGTCTTTCTAGCCGTAGCATCAGATTGAAGTCTGCTTCCTTTTTACCTTGAAGTCCGTGATTTCATAATGGACATGGTGGTTTCTAGTTACCTCTAATAAAGCATGATAATTTCAACAATAGCCACATTATGGAAAGAGCCCAAATGTCCATCCACTGACGAATGGATAAAGAAGATGTGGTTTATATATACAATGGAATACTACTTGGCAATGAGAAAGAATGAAATCCTGACATTTGCAGCAACATGGATGGAACTGGAGGGTATTATGCTCAGTGAAATAAGTCAGAGAAAGACAGATACCATATGTTTTCATTCATATGTAGATCTTGAGAAACCTAACAGAAGACCATGGGAGAAGGGAAGGGGAAAAAAAAGAGTTCCAGAGAGGGAGGGAGGCAAACCATAAGAGACTCTTAAATACAGAGAACAAACTGAGGGTGGATGGCGGGAGAGGGGAAAGCAGGTGGTGGGCATTGAGGAGGGCACCTGTTGGGATGAGCACTGGGTGTTGTATGGAAGCCAGTTTGACAATAAATTGTATTAAAAATGAATAAAAATAAAAAATAGGTCTGATTAAAAAAAATAATAATAAAGCATGATAAAACAAAGTGGCACAGAACCAGCGCATGCCTACATGATATTCAACAAGGCAGAAATCTCTGAACATTGCCTCAAAGGAAGTAAATCTCTAACCTGCAGTTTTGTGCTATTTTTTCATCTGTTTTTTATTATTTAATTTTTTTTTTTTTTTTTTTATGAAGGCTTGGTCGAAAATCTGGAGTAGTTCCTTTTCTATTTAAAAACTAACTAGAAATCTTGGGGCTTTTTTTAAGAAGATTTTTTTCTTATTATAAAATTCTTGCTTATGGGTTACCAAATGTGTAGACAAGGAAAAAAAAACAAACAACGTTACAACTGCCCAGAGAGAAAAATCAATGTTAATATGTGTTGACCTAGGTCTTCCAAAATCTCCTCTGTGCATATGTATCTAAGAGAAAAATTGTTTAAGCAAAAAAAGACCTCATACTATGCCTGTTTTATAAGCTTTTTTTTTTTTTTTTTCATTTAGCATTATGTTGGGATGATTTTTTCAGGTTGGCATTTTTTATATCCTCAAAGAACTGAGTTGTTCGGTATCACTCAGATGGTTGTGTATCCAGGTCACTTTCTCCGATTCATTGAAGTACTTACTGGAATGAATGAATAAACTACCCAATGGTACCTCCACCAAATAAGATATTCACGAAACCACGATTTCATTTCCTTTAGAATGATTTTAGTTAAAATTCACAGGGAATTGAGGGGGAACAGAAGCAGTTAAAATTTAAATGGCAGATTTTTAGGTAATTTTTTTTAAGTTTGTTTATTCTGAGAGAGAGAGACAGTACAAGTGGGGGTGGGTCAGAGAGAGAGAGAGAGAATCCCAAGTAGGCTCTGTGCTGTCAGTGCAGAGCCTGATGCAGAGCTCGGTCCCACAAGCCACGAGATCATGACCTGAGTCGAAAGCGAGCTGAAACCTGAGCCGAAATTGGGCACTTACCCAACTGAGCCGCCCAAGTGCCCCTTCAAGCCTGAGTAAAGGGCGTTGCTACAGTGCCAGAAAACCACTGCCCGTGGTTATGTTTGGTGCATGTGTCTCTGACCGTGTTGATTTTTCTCGTCTTGCACCTCACACTGACCATGTGGTGGCAAAGTCAAGGACCTGCCATCTTGTGTTTCACCCCACAGAGAACAGAAGTGTGATGCTGTCGGTAAATTCACCAAAGCCATGGATGATGGTGTGAAGGAGCTACTGACCGTGGGCCAGGAGCACTGGAAACGGTGCACAGGACGTAAGTGCCATCCTTGCGGCCACTTCTGGGTTTGTAGGTGGCAGTGCAGGCCCCGTTTTGTGACCTTTACCACATTGGGGAACCGTCCCCTCAAACAGAAATGCACATCATGCAGTAATGTCATACCCATGGCTCTCTGGTGACCCTCACTGGTCAGCCCTAATCAGATGACGGAAAACGGACTCCAACAAATCCAGTTCAAGAACTCTTACAAAAATGTGCCCCTTAACTGTTTCTAGTTATTTGGGGTTTATAATCTGTGAATAATGAATCTTTTCTTCGTGTTTAGAGAATGCTTGTTGTTTTTAATGTCATGATTTTACGTTGTAATGTTTATCCATTTGGTAAGATTTGTTTATAGAAAGTTCTTCAACGTACAACGGGGTTACATCCCAAAAAGCCCATCCTGAGTGGAAAACACCCTAAGTTGAAAATACATTCAATACACTTACCCTCCCGAACTTCACAGCTTAGCCTGGCCCCCCTGGCTCGGGACGCTTGCATCAGCCTGCAGTTGGGCAGAGACGTCTCACACAGGACCGAGACGGTTGAGCGTCTCATACCGGACTCAAAGTGACAGAATGGCTGCACGGGTGCAGAATGCGTGTCGTGTGCCCGCTGTTTACCCCCCTGGTCGCCGGCTGCCCAGCATCACAGACAGGATCCTCCCGTGTGTCCCCGGCCCAGGACAAGATCCAAATTCAGAATTCCAAGTACTGTTTCTGTTGAACGCATACCACTTTGACACCATCATAAAGTCAAATATTGTTAAGTCAGGGACCACCTGTATGTGGCTACAGACCTAATATTTAAGAGAAAGCAAGATGCTGGGTCAGACGAGGAGCAGGGTGAGGGCAGGTGCTCCACCAGCCACTGCCGTCTGCCTGCACTTCCCTGTTCTTGAAGACTTCGTACCTCCTCCGGCCCCCTCCCCACGTGGCCTTGGTTTCTGGACCGTCATCCTGCTGAACCTTTGTTGTCTTGCAGTCAAGTCCTTGCAGCTCTTGTCACATAGCCCAGGCTAGAAGCAGTCAAGCGTCGGCCATGGGGTCAACACCCCGCGGCTGCCCTCCCATCTCTAAGGCCCAGCAGGCTTCACAGACCCGGTCACCGCTGCACAAGTGCTCACGTGGCTGTCCATGGCCGTAGACTCTCGGGAGCTTCCTCCTCTTTGCGTCCATCCCGCCCTTATTGCCACAAGGCCTCCAGAGCCCCAGAGAGAGAGAGCTGAGCTCTCATCATGGTCGCTTGTGATGATCTCTGGAGAAAGAGGTGCCGTGAGTCCTAACTCACCTAACCTAGTACTAAGGCTAGTAGGTCAGCCATGAGGCTAGTATCTAAGAATTTTCTGGCTTTCAGCTCATACACCCTATAAGAATACTGGTTGTATTCAGGGTTTGGGTGCGGGTGGGGTGGGGGGTTGATTGTGTGTTTTAATAAAATGGCTTCTACTTTGAATTACAAAAATAATACCCACTTTTAAACTATGGTACTCAGCATAGGAAGGAGCTTAATTATCCATTTTGTAAAGTTTTTTAACAGGTGGTATTTTTCTTTTAAATGAGGGGAAAAGAATAAAATTGGAAGTCAAAAACTAATTTTAATGAATAAGAAACTGAATGTGGGATAACTTGTGAATGAATTATTAAGATACCACAGCAGAGTTAATAGCAATAGTAAGATCTATTAAATCCAGACCCTAGCACAGCAAAGTTCATAGCAGTGTTAAGATCTATTCAGTCCAAGCCCTTATTACATCAGGAATTGGCAAACTGTGGCCAGCAGGCCAAATCTGGCCTGGGGCCTATTTTTGTAAAAGTGGAACACGGCCATGCCCGCTTACATACGTACTGTCCGTGGCTCCTTTCCCATTACAGTGGCAGAGTCAAGTACCTTTGACAGGAACCTGTGGCCCCACAGAGCCTGGAATATTTACCGTCTGGTCCTTTGCAGGAAAAAAAGGCCCTGTTTATACCGAATGGCCCTCTGCCACTCACATAATACTTTATATCAACAAAACCACTTGTGTGCCAGCTGTTCGTGCCCAGGGGGCAGACGCTGGGAGTGATAACAGTTGCTCCTTTGTCACGGCAAAGACATATGATGCTGTACCCTAAATATAGAAGTAAGCCCCACACGGCAATGTATACAAATGCAACACTAGAAAAGAAAACCCGCTCAGGCCTTGGGTCACAGGAAGCTAACTCAGCACGGAAGGGGGAGTGACATTCACTCAAACAGTGATTTCATTTTAAAATAATTAATTTTAGGGGCGCCTGGGTGGCGCAGTCGGTTAAGCGTCCGACTTCAGCCAGGTCACGATCTCACGGTCTGTGAGTTCGAGCCCCGCGTCGGGCTCTGGGCTGATGGCTCAGAGCCTGGAGCCTGTTTCCGATTCTGTGTCTCCCTCTCTCTCTGCCCCTCCCCCGTTCATGCTCTGTCTCTCTCTGTCCCAAAAATAAATAAACGTTGAAAAAAAATTTTTTTAAATAATTAATTTTAGCTGTAAGCTCTTTTGAGGCCATGATAATAAATCATTTCAATTGTAGATTCTTTGAAAGATGTTCCCTGTTTTTTAGAAATATTTCAAGTGTAAATCCTCCAATCAGAATTTTAAGGATATCACAAAAATCTGGGTTTATGATTTCTTTTAGAGTTAAATCCCTTATGTCTAATATCTAGTCAAGTTCAGGTTCCATATGAGCCATAAGGCCAGATTTATGAAATAGAGGATATTGGTGTAAGGCTGCCCTTTTTGGTGTGGGGGGGAAAGGGAGAGTTGAAGCACTTGATTTGGGATTTAATTTAAGCATATCTTCTTTCTTCTTTTCTCTCAAAAGAGTGTCTTAAAATTCCTGATTTGTAAAGTGAGAAATGTAGCACATGCTTGGTGTGGTAAAGCACCTGGCAGGTGTCTTTAACCCCACGTATAGAGGCAAAAACTGAGTTACAAAAAGGTGAACAGTTTATTAAAATTAAGCCAATATGGTTTGAATTCATGTCTCCTGATTATTTCGGCTTATAGACCGTATTTCAGATTTCTCTGGACTAGATGTTTTTAAAGAAACATTTGAATCTTTCTTCTTTAAGATAGACCCTGCACTAAGCCTTCAAATGCAAGTAAGGCTTTCTTTTGAAAAGCACTTGGTGTGTTGAAAGGGATTACTTACAGATGCAGAGAAAATAGCCTAAGATAGACTCTGCTCAGAGTTTTCCAGAGTGACTGTAGAATTCTAGAATGTTAGCACTAGAAGGACCTCAGAGATCATTTCATTAATCATGTTATACAGATGAGCAAGCTAAAACCCCCCTCCCTGGTCCTGAGTCCTTCTGCCGTATTTTTCTCCACACGTTGCTGCTTTCACTTATTTATTTATTTGTTTGTTTGTTTGTTTGTTTATTTTATTTAACTTATGCAAATAATCGTTCATACATACATAACAGGAAAGCAATGTATTTGGAATCACACGTGCCAAACTCACCATTTGTTGGCCATGTGACCCTGGGCAAGCCCATTCACTTTATCTGAGCCTTATTTTTCTAACCCACAAAACCAAGATGTGGAGTCTCCACCTGGTAGACGGGTTGTCGTGGTGATCGGGTGGTGTACATGAAAGTCCTCTATCAGCCAGACATCTTCCAAATGAGCTCTCGGTCGCTCCAAAGGTGTGGGCGGTGGTGACGGTGGTTAATAATAATAGCATCCGCCATTTACTGCACCATCCGTGAATAATGAATTTTATTTTTAAAAAAATCCTTTGTTCAAAACAATTTTATTAAAGAATATAGACTATTTTGAGTCATTTCAAGTTTCTTTCATGATAAAAGTAATCACTTTTAGGAAATAGTCAAAGCCCATTTCAGTTTGCTCAGAGGACTGGTTAACCGTGCACTACTTTTTCTCTTCCAGCATTACCCAAGGAGTATCAGAAGATAGGAAAGGCTCTGCAGAGCTTAGCAACAGTGTTTAGTTCCAGCGGTTATCAAGGTACGTCTGTGTCTGTCTGTCTTGGGGCCATAAGTGTCTCGCGACCAGCCACCCCTCCAGCCTCTTGTAGGCAGACAGAGACTCCGCAGTGAAGGGCCCTTGTCACCGACACTTAAATTGGCTGGGCTGCTCCACTCAGGACTCCTGCAACCTCACTTCATTGCTTCTGAGAAGAGTGGAGGGTTGTTACACTATGTATTTTCTTGCTGGCCTTCTTCGCCTTTCTTTGTGCTCAGGCACAGCTCTTGCGCTCGAACGAGCAGCCATGATACGTCAGCCTCCGCCCTGGCTCTCATCTCCCCGCCAAACTCAGAAGTCCAGTCTTCCTGTTACAAAGGCCAGAATTCACCAACGCGGTTTGGAGGGAAAATTTGACTAAGTGACAAATTCACGTTGCTTTCTGTCTCTCCGCAGCTTATAATTATTTTCAACTTGTCCCACGTTGTAGATCTTACCTGTGGTTTTTCGAATTCATTGTACGTTTACATTGCCCACACTTGCGAGAACAAGCCAGCCATTTCCCCTTATGTTTTGGTTTGCTTTTGCTTAGTTTGCCCTGTGGAGCAGGTAGGGAGTCCAGGTATCTGTCAGGTGAGTGGCAGTTCTTAAATCTGAGTGTGTCCCATCACTTACAGAAATGATAGAATTGGTACTTCGGCCGAGTTCTGTATCCCAATTCCTAGGGAAGATAGGTCTTTGGACGTCAGTGTCTGAGTATCTTCAGGAACGAGAAATTAGTCTCTCAGCAAAATGTATTGGGGCTGCTGTGTATGAATATTTCTTTTTGGCCTGGCTGAATTGTGTCTTATAATCCCAACTTTCAGATTGATGGGAGCGTTGAAGATTAGTTAATCGGGCCCCCTCTTTCAAGATGAGGAACGTGGGCCTGGAAAGATAAGCTTCTGGCCAGGGTGCCACAGGGGTTGATGCAGAGGCCAAGTCTAGGACCACATCCGCTGCTTGGGTGCCGGCAAGACCCTGAGAGCACGCTCATCTTTGTGGTTCTGTAGTGCGTTGACGGGATGAGAGCTTTTGTTCTGAAGACGCTGGACCCCAATCGTGCGCTCACATGTCAGAGCTCACCCGAATCTGCGCCTTCCTTAAGCCTCACCTGAGAGCTGGGTGTCTTCCGGCCCCGCCCTCACTTCCCTCCATCACCTCTTCCTGCACACAACCCGTGTGGGGGAACTGGCCCTGCATTTGGGGATCCCCAGGCTCTAGTCCCTCACAGCCCACAGGCAGCGCCTCCCGTCCCCCCGGGGCTCCTCTGCCTGTGGAGGGCTCCCTCTTCCACCCGCGTGGCAGGCTCAGCCCTTTCTGATTTTAGTTCATTTGGATTTCTTCATTCCTACAGTGCTTCAGTGACTCGAAGGGAAAGTATGGCTTTTGAGTTTATGTGATATTATTACGTTGAGAGCAGCAGTCTTATAGGTGTCCCCGTCCAAGCTAGAATGGAACCGCTCCAAGATTAGATTTTTAAGCCCAACAATGATCCTTCCAATAGCTTCCAAGTTTGTATAATACGTGGACCCATATTTGAGGTCTTTTGTCCCTTGAAGTCACGTATAAAACTTAAAAATCATTCAGAGCTAGATCACAGAATGTGTAAACAGCAGTTCACTCACTGGTTCTCCTGGTCGATGCTGGGAAAGACACATCACTCCCTCTTCACTAAATGTGATATTTATAGAGGGTGCAGATAATTTGAACCAAAAGTCTTGAAAAGGGGGAAACAGAAGACATTCGGTAATCTGAGAAATGGTTCCTAAAGATCTTCTTTGGTAACTTTATAAAATCTTCCCATATATTTCTTGTTCTGTATGTGCATTTTAGTGGAGTCTGTGTACCTTCAAAATGACCAGCTTCTCTCCAGCGTTTGTCTTCTGTAATTTCAGCCTGAAGCGACCTAGAAGAAAGGAGGGATAGAGAGGGCCGCAGGGGGGCAGTAGAGTGAGGCCCCGACAATATCACGACATCCTAGAGGGGAGGAGACAGTAAGAGATGACCTTCTCCACGGCGCCCACCTGTGTATTCCCTTCCGAACCACAGACCACACTCAGAGAAGCACTGTTTGCTTTCTCCATGTTTTCTGTGCTTAACACTATCCTCAGTGCGTTGTCAAATACTCCGGTTGCAAGTGGCACTTTGCCAACTACTACAAGTACTCAATGTCATACGCTTTGTGTTGAATATCATTCACCTTACTAGAGATCTTGTTTTGAAAGAACTTTTCAAGACTGGCCTTTGACCTTTCAAGGCAAATGAAGGTCAGCAGAGTTGAGTTCTGTGTCTCATCACGCGTTCCTTTGCCCACACGTGCTGGCTTCTTGGGGCAGCGCTGCACTCTTTGATCTTGAAGTAATTCAGATGATTCCAGTTCCTGAGAACATCTTGGGTTATGTTAACTATAACTTTCCACACTCCCTTGAAGAATACATGAACTAATTACTGGAACAACACGGAGACCGTTAGCATGGCCTTTGCACAGATCTATGAGGCGCTTCATATCCTTATGGATTATCATGGAAAAATAACTGATAAAAATATTTAAATGGTTATCTTTGGGGGAGAAGAGGAACGGGTACAGAAGCTAGACCTCTAGACCTCTAGTTTTATCTTGTTTCATAGATTCTACTTTGGAACGATGTGAATGTTTTACATTTATTTTTATATTTGTTGTTTTACTTTTATTATTAGAAAACAAATTTAAATGAAAATGTAAAAAAAAAAAAAAATCCTAAAAAGCAAAAGCAAAATGAATCATTGGATGCATCAAGAGGAGGGCATAACCATGTAGAGAATTACTTCAGATCACCTTAAAACAACGAATTTTGATTATACGTCCCTAGTAGCAGGTGTCTTAAAGCCAAAAAAGACTTCAAAAATCTCGTTTTTCAGTAATCATGTAGTTAGCATAAAATGTTGGTATTGTTTTTCTAAAGCTTCTAAAACTATTTTACGTTCTGTGGGGGAAAGCAAATACGTAATTCTTTTACTGTTGTTAGGAACCAAGTTTTAAAAGAGAGAAACATAAAGATCAAAAGTTTTAAAACCCATTATGAAAAATCCTGTAGTCCTAAATTTGAATTGGAAATGTCAATATGAGTTCATTATGATTTCCCTGTTTTTAAAAAAATGCAGCTTGCCTCACTCTGCACGTTGAAAAGGCCCCGAAATATCCAATCCAGGAGTGAGAAGCGCCTCTAGCGCCACCCACAGGGGGATTTCTGAACACTGCGCTCCACCCACATGAACCAGAGCTCCCAGCAGAAAGAACTCAGATGCCAGTTTGAAGAGCCTTACGCTGGCTGTAAAGAGAAAATTTGAGCATTAGTGCAAGTAATACTTTCTGTGAAGTGAAGCTTATCGAGTACGTTTAAATCCAGATTTCAGTGCTTTTTTAAAAAGTTGATCTCCGTTACCTTTAGGGGACTGGTTAGGGAATCAACTCATTATTCTGAAAATGGTAAAGAGAAGGAAGCATTTAATGTGCTTTTTCTCGTCCAGTACCTCACGGTAAGCAGATAGCTGATAAAGGAAGGTTCCTTTTTATAGAAGTGCTTCCGATCAAGAAAGAGTAATTGAAGCGGAAAAGCAACAGTTTACGAACCTTTCCTCAAATAAAAAATTGAGACTGTACAGGGAACCGAGGACTGTGCTATCACCACAGAGACAGTCAGCAGAACCCAGACTGTAGGTAGCAAGACAAGTACCCGGTTTCTTCAACACCCGAAAAAGAAGTTTGCAAGAAAACAAAGAGGGAGGAGAAAGAGCCTATAGACTGAAGAAACACTTAGGCTCTCGGCCACCTGGACGTTCTTTGCATCCTGAAAGCAGCCACCTTGATTTCGGACATCAGGGAGCTGCACACAGCCTGGATAATTTATGTCGAGAACAGTTTGTCTTTTCTACAGTGTGGTGTTGGTATCGTCCTTGCTTTTTGAGGAGTCCTTATCTTTTAGGTAAAAGTTATGAGTGAACTGTTATATGGCCAGCGAAAGAGGGAGGTAAGGAGTAGATGGTACAGGTGAAAAAACACTGGCCATGAGCTGTTCATTGGGAAGCCAGGTGACGGGTAGATTGCAACTCATTACACTATCCTCTGGTTTTGAAACGTTTAGGATTTTCTAGAATAAAATTTTTAAAATAAATGAAGTGAAAATGCAACTTACGACCACTGATGTCGCTATAACGATTTCCAGGCGAAACGGATCTCAATGCTGCGATAACAGAAGCAGGAAAGACTTACGAAGAAATTGCCGGCCTTGTGGCAGAACAGGTATCCACTTAGACACGCGATTCCAGTAAAGATTTCATGCTGTCGAATCCACATATTTAACCTAACCTATTTTAAAACAAACTTCGCAAATAGATATCCTTCTCTTTGCTATCCCTGTGTATCTTTGTTAATGGTATTTGGTAATAGTTTTTCTTTGGTTAAGCAAAAGTGCTAGATGAATGTATCCTCAGGAAATCTAAAGGAGAGTTACAGAGAGGGAAGGAGGCAAACCATTAGAGACTCTTAAATACAGAGAACAAACTGAGGATTGATGGGGGGTGGGGGGGAAGGGGAAAGTGGGTGATGGGCATTAAGGAAGGCACCTGTTGGGATGAGCACTGGGTGTTGTATGGAAACCAATTTGACAATAAATTATATAAGTAAATAAAAAGAAAAAAAACTAAAGGAATACCTTCCGGTGTCGATGGCTTGGATCCATCCTTCACCCACAGGGGGTTGGAACATTATAGCAAGAACACTGTTCAAGTCACTGTTTGGACCCTTAGTCTGTCTGAGCCTTGCTTCACTCAGCTGGTAAATGGTGATGGGAGAGCCTGCCTCATAAGGATCTCAGCAGTCAGCAGCTCACGAGGAGAACATACCTGCTGTGGCCCCTGGGAAAGGCAGGTCCTTGTAACAGCCACGTGGCTTTTATTGGGGTCTTCAGTGGCCCAACTCCAGCTCTTTTGTATAGACAACAGATCAGAAATTCCCTAATGGGGGATAACGATGTATGTTGTTTCAAATCCCTAAATTAAAAAAAAAAAAGTTTTTAGTTCAGTTCTTGAGATATATCCTTGTGCACGCGCGTTCATGTTGGTCATTGACTACCTCTGCTTGTTATAAAGAGATTAATTTTTAGAACTGTGCATAACATAACTATTAAAAATTATAATTCAAAAAAATTTAAAAATTTTAGGTTGCCACTTAAGGTGGTTGCCAGATTTTTAATTATATTTTACGTTCTCTGCTAAAATTGAGACATTGATTACATCTTATTTGCTCATATATAAACAGACAGTATTGACTAGCTTTTTTCCCCACGTAATGTTATATTTTGAGCCACCTCAAAATAGCTGATTTTACCAACCAACCTAAAAATTATCTGATGTTCTATCATTTTCTCTTCAATCTACAACTGAGAGTGTAATAGCGTTGGAGGGTTGTTTTCTTACAGGAAAACTAGGCCGAATGCATAGCCCTTGACCATAGTAACTACTACCTGGGGGCTTGGCTGGCACAGCCCTCAGGTATGACTGTTTTCTTGTCCTCCGTTGCCTGGATTTCTCTGCCAGTAATAACCGATCTGTGTCTTATTACAGCCAAAGAAGGATCTCCATTTCCTCATGGAATGCAATCATGAATATAAAGGTTTCCTTGGCTGCTTCCCTGATATTATTGGCGCCCATAAGGTAATTTGATCGCAGAAGATGACGCGGGTGAATCCGGCTGCCACTCACGGCCACCTGCGCGGTCCCTGTCTGTCAGCACAGCCCTGAGTCAGGAGGGGCTTTCCGAAATAAGCTGGAAACTGCTCGGTCTGTTTAAATAGTGAGGTCCCCGTAACACGTTTAGATCATGGGGAGTTTCTAGTTTTTTGGATTCTATAAAAAATAATTTTGAGGAAACAAAAATATGAAAAACGCTCCTTTATGCACATGCTTAGGTCAAGTATCAAACAAAATAATCCTGCTGTTTGAAGTTGAAGACAATGTTAGGAATACTGCTTTCCCTTTGTGAGACCCCTGTAAGCTGCTTGGGCAAGTCCTCTGAGATCCTTCCCTATTGATATGAAATAAGATGTTCTGTCCCTGGGCCTGATGAAGGGCTTCCTGACTAAAACTTCAATGGTCAACCTCAATTTTATATTTTTAGGGTAATAAGAAGGAAACTGTGTAGTTCCCATCGTAAAGGTATTTTTAAACTGAATTTAGAAATGTTTTAGGGGCGCCTGGGTGGCGCAGTCGGTTAAGCGTCCGACTTCAGCCAGGTCACGATCTCGCGGTCCGTGAGTTCGAGCCCCGCGTCGGGCTCTGGGCTGATGGCTCAGAGCCTGGAGCCTGTTTCCGATTCTGTGTCTCCCTCTCTCTCTGCCCCTCCCCCATTCATGCTCTGTCTCTCTCTGTCCCAAAATAAATAAACGTTGAAAAAAAAAATTTTTAAAGAAATGTTTTAGGGTGTCCTCACATTTTGATTCTGGTTAATTTTTCTCTGTTTCACATTCTGTATTATTTCAGAATGTGGACTTATTTTATCCACTCTAGTACTTCTCTAGGGTATTGTGATGTACTTGGGTTTGTTAGGAAAATCTCCACAGAGGGCTGGTCTGTGACCCTAACAGTCCTGGCACGAGGCCCCGTTAGCCTTTGACTTTGATAACGGAAGTGTCAGGAGGGGGTGGCGTAGGTAAACAGGAAGCTTTGTGCAACTTCAGATCTTTTCATACAAAACTCAGAACATTCTCTTTACAACCCACCCGTCGCCGGACACTTCGGTGTTGCCACATCTTGGCTGTCGTGGGTAACGCTGCAGTGATCCTGACGGTACAGTTATCGCTCTGAGACCATGTTTTCATTTTCTTCAGATATGCGCCCAGGAGTAGAATTGCTGGGAGAGTAGACCTTAAAAATGCTCATCATAAGGGGGCGGGAAAAAAAAAAGCTTGTAACCGCGTGAGGTGAGGGATGTTAATAGCACCGTGGTAATCGTTTTGCAATATATACAATACGTCAGCTCCTACAATATTGTGTGTCAATTATAAATAAAACCGAGAGGAAATTAAATAAAATAAAAATCTAAAAAAAAAAAAAAAAAAAAAAAACAGCTCAGAAGGGTTAGCTTGTTGTAGGGATTGGTGCCAGCACTTAAGAGTTTTGGGCATGGAGCCTGATGTATGCGCGAGTGTGAAGTTTTTCCTTCCAGACAGCTCTAATGAGCTCTCTGATGGTCCTGGAGTGGGAAACATTTGGCAGCTTTCACAGCTACCTCCATGTGAGTATTAATCTGAAATCGGTACAGCGCTCCTCGCAGAAACCAGAGTAAAGCTGGTGACCCGCTGCTCCAGGACAGCAGAGGGCGAGAGGCCCTGGGCGCATGCGCTCGTCCGTGTCCCTGATCAAACGACTTTGCAAACTGCTACTGCCTCTTTCCCTCTTCCATACCACTCTTGTCCAGGCCCTGACTCTGGCTCACAGATACTACAGAAATAAGAGTGCTGTTTGGTTTTCTATTCTGTCGTGGCGTTAAACAGTCCCATTTTAGCTTAGTTCTGTATTTCAAGAAAAGCAACCTTTTTGCTTCCAAGCGACTTACAGGAAGTTACAGTTAGGTGCTTTCCTGTGTTCTTATTTTGTGGGGACATTTTTTTTCTTGTTGAGTAGCCAGTCAGGTAGAGAATATGTTGGCACTGTTCTATTTTAGATTAATGGCTAATCCTTTTAGCTCTGTTTTATTCATACTCTTGCATTTGTATTTCACAGGCAGCGATAGAAAAAGTGAAAGAAAGTGACAAACTGGTGGCAACTAGTAAGATCACCCCACAGGACAAACAGAACATGGTGAAGCGAGTTGGTACCATGTCTTACGCGTTGCAAGGTAAGAGAGAGGTTCGTGCACAGCTAGCGGAGATTTTAAACCCCACCCCCACCCTCAGCCCCCAGCAAATCTGTTCTTGCTGGAGAGAAATCCAAACGTGAACCACAGCTAGTAGGTAACCAAGAGCTGATTTAAAGTATTCTCATAAGCCCGTTGTTTGCAGGATCCCAGTGTTAATGAAGATTTGTAATATTTATTTATTCTTTTGCACATTTCCCTGACATAACTATGGATGACAGCCTGATCAAACCTGTACATGTTTATTATCTCTTAGAGACAGTGAAAATTACTTTTATAACCCTTAATATTAGCTCCTTCCGTAACACCGTGTGAGATTCCCAAATTCAGCTTTTAGCACTTTGTAACCTGTGTCCCCCAGGACGCTAGAATGTAAAGGGAGATTGGACATAGCGTTTTCAGCAAAGTTTGACTGTTAATAAAAAGAAGATATTAGTTAATTTTTATATATTTGAGTGCTTTCCAGCAGAGAGGAGCAGTGAACAGACTTTTCCTGTTTTGACGGGCGGGTAGAACAGGTGTAAGCAAAGGAGAAGGGGGAAGGATGTTCTAGTTGGAACAAAAGCACACAAAAGAATGGGACAAGATTCTCTCCTCTTGGCCTTCGGGCAGAAAGTATACCTGCAGGTTGTTGGGGAGTAAGTGTGGTGATTGTGGAGGGCCTGGAGAGCCAGGCCGAAGAGCCTAGACTTGACATGGGCATTAGGAAGCCACTAAAGGTTTGATGTTGGGGGCCAAGGGGGTCCACTGCTCCGGGAGAGGGTGGGAGACACTGAAGGGGGCAGACGTCAGGAAGCCCACAGAGAAGACGACTGCTTCTGCAGTCTGAGAGTTTGAGGGGCTGAAAAAGACGTGGTGCTCAGAGAAGAGAAGGGCCCATTTACGGACTTTGCCAGGAAACACCCCTCGGGGCTAGGGAGCTAGTGGGACAAAGAGAAGAATGTCTGGAAGATATCCAGAGCTAGGGCAACTAGAGGCAGAAATGGGAAAGCCTGAGTGAAGATTTGGCTTTTGAGGGGTTTGCAATGGGGAATTTGGTTTGAACTTGTGTTTGAAGTTACCCAAATAGATAAATGAGAAGCTTCGCATGACTCCAGCTAACACGAAACTCAGGACAATTCCCTTTTTGTAGGAATTGGTGCCAGCAGCTGGCTTTCTGGGCACAGAGAACAAGGGGAAATGCAAGGTGGAGGTGTGAGAAGTCCCCTCCAGAGTTGGTGATGGGGTGGGGGTGGCACCGAGAGACCAATTTCCACAAGGGAGTCATTTGTGAATCGATGGATTCAGCAAAGATAAAGAACGGGCGTCAAGTCCTCTCGCCTGGTAAGACACCGAGTTCCGAGAGCCCTGGTGCTCAGGGCAGTGAAACTCCGTTACAGAAGAGGGTTTCTCTGTGTCTCATCCATCTGCACAGCTGTTCCAGGGCGCCCCAAGAAACCTGCCCAGGCAGTGGCCACACGATGGGGAACAGGGCAGGACCCACGAGGCGCCTTGCTAGGTCCTCCATAACGTGATGCTCTCAACTGCATTGTTGTCTGCAGAGAATAACCACCAAGTCAGCCTTCTGCTCGATCGGTTCTGTTGGGACAGTAGTCCACACGTGTGTGACCGTGTCAGGCTTCTTAGTATCTAACATGTAAATCCACAAAACTCATCTCTCTGCCCGAAAGTATTGTTTGCCATCAACTGCTCAGATTTTCTAGCCTCTGTATAAAGTGATTTGTCAAGAACTGCCCCTGCCCTGAAGCCAAGCAGATTAAATCCAGTTGATGACGGATCACAACCCAGCAGAGAAACCAGGTGTTGTCTGTTGAAGTTCAGGGGTACTGATTGATGTCTTGGGTTTGGTTGTAGCTGAGATGAATCACTTCCATAGCAACCGGATCTATGACTACAACAGCGTCATCCGCCTGTACCTGGAACAGCAAGTGCAGTTCTATGAAACAGTAAGTTGGCCGCCGGCCCCAGGCCCTTTGCACGCGCGCGCACACACACACACACACACACACACACACACACACACACAGGAGGATTTGTGGTCACTTAACTTTGACCCTACAGAGTTAACCTGTTTGTATTTTTTAATCCTAAGTATTAAACCAAAGGAGGTTAATTATTGGGTGTGTTTTTTAAAACCCTTTTAATTATATCTGCCTTTTCCTTTTCGAATGGTACAGCATTAGAAAAGGTTTCTCTTCAGGAAGAAGGAGTACTGGAGGCTGGTTGTGAGGCCCCCATAAGTCCTTTCTGGGAGGTTCCCCACCCCCGCAGCCTCTCTGTGCCTAGGGAATAGGGAAGGGGAAGGGGCCGGGGCCTGGCACCACAGGCGGCCTGTGGGAATGACGTCTCCCTGTGCACTGAAGGAACTTCAGAAAGAAAACAAGTGAGAGAAAGAAGCCCCAAATGTTTTCATTTAGGAAACCGCAACAGAAATGTAAACTCTTATACTCTGCATAGTAATTTTATCGTTGACCAGGGTGTACAGTCAGTAAAGAACCTGGCATGTAAGTGGAAACTCAGACGCCGGAAGACAAGTCCTGTCACTGCGTGATTGACTGTGTGTGTTGGCTGCCCGTTTCTTACTAAGTTTTCCACTGTTTCCTCGGTATTATCTCGTGTATGTTCAGGATGGTGGTAGGCGGGCCCCAAACTCCCGTCCACGCACGTGTCCTCTCTGGGCGAGACAGTGCCGAAAATGTCTGTCTCCAACAGACTCTTGAAAGGAAGCTGTGATTGGTGTGCTCTCCGTGTGTTGTGAATTGCGTGTCAGAAGCGGCTGGTTTTGGCGCTGAGTTTCTAGAAAGAATTCCCTTCCGCCTTCGTATCCTCTGCAGCGTGGTTCCTGGGCTCTCCGGCTGCACGCTCCGTGTTAACCGGTGCCGCTGTAAGGTTGCTTCTCATCATGTGTTGGAATCACAGATTGCATTTGTTCTACGTGAGAAAAGAAGGCGAATTGCTGAAATTCTGATAATGTTGATTTGTTCAGTAATCTGAAGCCCAAGTGAGGTGTAATTATCAATGACCTTGTGACTCAAAGTAGAAACCCATGCATTCAATCACCGTCCTTGTTAGATGCAACAAGTTTTATGAGAAAGTAACCCTTAAGTTGTAAAATGCGCACATTTGTTCACGGAGCAAACATTTATTGAGTACCTATTATACACCAAGCACGTATTCCAGATACTTAGGCTCCAAGAATGGCAAAGACATCTGTGTCCTCAAGGACCGTGTGGTCTCCTTGGGGGCAGGGTAGACACATGATCTCCTCTGCAATACGGCACTGGCCGTAACGGTGCACCTGTGTGCTGTCTCCACATTGGCGGCCCAGCAGCAGGCGGGATCAGGGAGGCGCGCTCAGCAGTGGGGCCTCAGGAGTCCGTGGCGTCCAGCAAGGCAGGGGGATCTGGGCGAGCCTGAAACCCGCTCTCTCTGCCTCACTGGAGGGAGAAGTGAGTAGCCTGGCAGTGTGGCTCCCCAGGGAGGAAGGGGCCGTGCCGGGAAGAAGCGGCACACTCTGGGCTCTCAGGGGGTCTCTCTGGCTGCCTGGTGCTGGAAGAGACTAGAAGCATAGCCCAGCTAAAGTATTTGTTTTTAAAAAATGTTTTTCATGTTTATTTTTGAGAGAGAGAGAGAGAGACACAGAGTGTGAGCGGGGGAGGGGCAGAGAGAGAGGGAGACACAGAATCCGAAGCAGGCTCCGGGCTCCGAGCTGTCAGCACAGAGCCCGACGTGGGCCTCGAACCCACAAGCCATGAAGAGATCATGACCTGAGCCGAAGTTGGACACTCGGCCGACTGAGCCGCCCAGGTGCCCCTCAGCTGGAGTATTTGTAATGTTTTACTCATTAGAGATGGAAATAGTAGAATACTATGAGTTCGTAAGAGGCGTGATGTCTCAAGGTTGTTTCGTTTTTCCCCAGATTGCAGAGAAGCTGAGGCAGGCCCTCGGCCGCTTCCCAGTGATGTAGGACAGAACAGCACCCGAAGCGAACTCCCAAGCGCTTCTTTCCGACCTGGGGCAGCGCAGTGTGATGTTTCTCCCCTGTCGTCAAAATCAAAAAGGAAGGAAGGAAACCAAAAAGAAAGAGAGTTGCAAAAAACTGCATCTACTTTATTAACCAACTGAAACGCACCGGTTACTTAGGGATAGTCTTGTTTTGTTCATTTCCACATCCGTTATTAAAACGATGGAAATCGTCTCTATTTTTGGAAAGTACTTAAAGTTATCAGAATTTTGAACAGAAGATTAGGGGTTTCCCCCACCGATATTTTACATAAAACTGTAATTTTTACGTCACCCACGATCTTCTGGTTCTTACCCAATGTCAGGTAATTACTAATTGCTTTCTTAAAAATATGAAGTATGCCAGAATAAAATATATATATGTTCGTATATTTTTATAACTCTTTTCAGTCCTTTGGGATTCCTGTCTATTTAGGAAAACCTACATGCCTTTCACTGACATATTTATGACTCGGGCGCTCATGTCTTCGGGAGAGAGGAAGCAAAGAGGGGCTCCTGGGGCGGCCGGCCCCCTTGCGTACAGCTCGGTGGTGGCCCGTGGTCCCATCAGAGCACTGGGCAGAAACTGAGGATCAGATTGACGTGCACCCACTTCCCTCAGGACCATTTCGAGTGTCCCCTCCTTGGGGAGGGCTCGCTCTCCTGGCACTCCCTTCCTCAGCTTGGTTAGGGCATGGTTCTTGCCAGAAAGACTATGTTGAGAAAGTTGGGGATGTTTCTAAAATCATCCGACCCGGCTCCTCTGCTCCCAATGGTGGAGCCGCCCTGCGGACTCCTGTGCTCGGGCGGGGCGGGGGGGGGGGGGGGGACACACCCTCTCCCCCAGAGCTTTCACCTCGAATCTGAGCCGACAGTGGCTCAGTCCGGCCGCATGAGAAACGTGTGAGAGCGTGATTTGCCACTTGATTTGGATGGCAGACTAGCGGGCCGAGGGTATTCTCTGGAAAAAATGAAAACACAGCTTAGTAGACCTCTCCATCCGCACCACATCGAAAAGTCTGGGGACCCATAAGGGTGACAACCTGAATAATACACAGTAACCCCCGGAGCTTTTATGTTTAAGGAGTACAGAGCGAAAGTCTCCCTAAACTTCAGACAGAATTTTTCTGATCACTAGGACTCCAGTTAATGGCATAAAGCAAAACATAATCTTTCTAGACTGTCAGCTTTAAATCTGAACACTCACAGACACTATCTTCCTCCTGCAGACGAGCATGTCTGTCCTCCACAGTTGCCTTACTGCGTTATCTCCACTGCTTTCGTTCTCCTGACCTGATGATTCTAGCATAGAAAAGGAAAGTTTTGGGCCAGCACAAATGAAATGAAACCAAAAAATAAGTAGAAGAGGAAATCAAATGAACATGAATATGAGAATTTCTTGTTCCTTAATATCACGGGTTTTGTTAATGTTTTATAAGTAATTTTCCCTATTTGATTTTTCTTTTATAAAATCTCATAGAACAATGTTTATGATACAGCCATTTAATATATGTACAAATTGTAAAGAATATGTATAAATGTTTTACACAAATGTAAGAGCATGTAGAAGCCAACATATAAATAAATTGTTGAAAACTGTACAGTAAATTCTGAAAGCACATTTTCAAAACACTTTGGTGTTTGTGTGATTTTTTTTTTTTTTTTTTAATAATTGCTTCTTGGGGCGCCTGGGTGGCGCAGTCGGTTAAGCGTCCGACTTCAGCCAGGTCACGATCTCGCGGTCCGTGAGTTCGAGCCCCGCGTCGGGCTCTGGGCTGATGGCTCGGAGCCTGGAGCCTGTTTCCGATTCTGTGTCTCCCTCTCTCTCTGCCCCTCCCCCGTTCATGCTCTGTCTGTCTCTGTCGCAAAAATAAATAAACGTTGAAAAAAAAAATTAAAAAAAAAAATAATTGCTTTTTGCTTCCAGCTGCTGAAAATAGTCCAGGGAATGAATTTGTCCCCAAAACTTAATTCTCCCAATAGGAACTGATCATTTAATTCTTTAAGTCAGAGTTATCAGTCCTAGAAGCATGTCCTAATCACCAGAGAGCTGTAAGAAACAGATACTGATGCCCAGTGTATTCGGGTTCTGCAGAGAAACCGCCTACGGAGCATATGTGTGTGAGTTCCCTAAGTGATGTTTGCGCTTTGTGATATCTTATAACTTAATTCTATGGTATGAAAATCTTATGTTACATGATAAGGAATAAGAGAGGAAAGAAATCAGGTACTTGCTTTACACATACACAGGTATTCAAACAAAAGAAAGAGAAAAGATGACCGTTAAAATCCTTTTATCGGCCACCCAGCAGTGGCAGGGTTAGGGTCAGCCTTGGTGAGTGAAGTCTGTTGCTGAGCCCATGCATGACCTCCATCCCTGCCACCATGGCCACTGGGTTCATGAGCCCACTGGGACAGGACGGAGCGGCTGGAGAGGGAGGCTGGCTGGTATCCACAGAACGGATCGTCCTATCCGCTTGATTATTAAAATCCTCTCCTGCTGACGTCACCCTACGGCGGGCATTTATAGGACACAAATATCTTCACTTTTTGGAAGAGAGGACCATCCACATTCCTCTTCCCCAAATTTCTTGTCACCAGTTTTTCCGAATCTGACCATCCAGCCAAACCGTTGGCCCCAGCCCAAGAATTGATACATAATTGCACATCGGGCCATTTCTCCTTCCAAGCAAAGTGAACGGCCAGGTGTCCTGCTCAGAGTTCCGCCACTGGGAGGATCGCCCTTCACCGTGTCCCTTGGGGATGTCCCCGGGAGGGTCCATAGTGCTGCCGCTGTCTGCGTTCGGGCGGTGTCTGTACGTCGGGCAGAACCTTCTGTCCCCCAGGCCTGAGCCTTCTCGTCCCCGGCAGCTGATCTTGGAGAACTCCCCAGGAGGCCATCGATCAGCCTGGGAAAGAGAAGATGATGTGGCAGGAGTGGGGACGTGGGCATTTGTACCGCTTTCTCCTGTAGCTTCCTTGTGCCTCCGGGGCCTGCTCGGGCCCGATCGTATATGCCCCCCTTCCGTCGGACGATGGAGTGCTGCTGTGCGTGTCCAGCTCCGTGTCCTGCTGGGTCAGCCGACACGCAGCTCGTGGCGGGCAGCTCGGGTCTCCTGGTAACTTGGTGGCCCCCGGGGTAAGCGTTCAGTCTCTGCTGAGGCCGGATAGCGAGGCAAGAACCGTGTGGCACAAGGGGAGTGGTTATTTGTGGAGGAGGGCAAGGCTTTGCCCCCAGATCCCAAGGGCTTGCTTTGCTACTCACCTACAGGGCGCTGCCAGAGGCTCCAAACAGCATCCCTGTCTGCTCTGACATTCCAGGCGCAACGTGCTCGATCATATGGCCCCAGCCGCAGAGCAGATCGCACGGCAGCCTGGCCCTGCTGGGGAGCTTTCTCCCGTTCTGGACCCCGTACCAAATACCTGCACATCCTGTGGCCTAGTCAAGTCGATACCTCCCACATATACCGATTTAACTGGTCCGAGGAAGGGGCCAGAAAAAGGCATCCAAGGAAACAAGATGACCTGAGGTGCTGAGAAAAATGGTAGCTGACTGCAAGCCAGGCAAAGTAACAGGAGTTTGAAAGTGAAAAATCACCCACTGAGTGTCGATACTTGGATGATTCTCCTGCAAATGGCAGCATGTTAAGGACCTAGGACATACTTCACTCTCTATGGGTTCAAACACATGTGGTTCTTACATGTTGATGCCTCGTTTTCATTTGAATCAACCGTTAGATGTCACAGAAGAGCTATAATTACGGAATATGATACTTACCCATCTTGACCATGTAAAAATCAGCATTTGGAGAGGAGGGGTCAAGGCACAGTGGAAGAAGGGGTGAGTCTCCTTGTCGAGCAAGTGACACCGGTCACCTGCCACCAGAAATGGCAGTCCCCGGATGTCAGCCCCCTGCAGGATTCGCAGATGTCTGGGTCGCCAAGGAGGACACGGCTCAGGCACTGGATGGAACGAACACTTTGCTCACAGAGAAGGGGCAGAGATCAGCTGCAGTGATGAGTGTCGGTCCCCAGCGGCCAGCGGGTCTCAACTGCCACAGATACAGGGGGACGGTCTGTGCACACGCCTCTCGCACAGCAGGTGAAGGGCCCCAACCCTCCCCGCTGGGAACAGATAGAGCAGGGAGATTGGCCAGGTGCCAAGGGACACACGCTCGGAACAGAGAAATACACATCAAGCCTGGAACAAGGGAAGATACTCCCGCATGAAATATGCCCCTTTGAGTCTTAATTTTTTCAACCTGTTGGTTTCAAATCCTTTTCTCCAAGAAAGTAAGGCAAACTTGAGTTCCTCTGGCGGGCAGGGTGGGGCACTTTTCCACTGGTCTTTACACTCTGCCTGGCTTTGCCGGCCGTGCCCAGAATGCTGTGCCCAGACTGCTTCGACCAAGGTCATTTCTCAGGGCTGTTTCCAGCAAGCATCCCTGGTGGATGACATAATGTCTTCTTCCCAGAAGAAAAGCAGCCTTGCTTGCTGCTTGCTATGAAAGCTGCAGGCTCCTCTCCTGTAATAGGACCCACTGCATGTGCAGGCATCCCTCGGGGTCTTCTGGTCCCCCTGCCCCCCCAGGGACCTGCAAGGTGGGAAGAAGCTGAAGCTCACGGTGCTTGCTGCACCGAGGGTAATAAATAAAGTCTGTCATCGGACTCGCCTAAGCCTCCTGCCAGCATCCATAACCTGGTAACAGACTAATTTATTTGCTCGTAAATAGAACATAACCAAATCCCAGACCTAGCCGTTACTTTTGTACGAAAACGTTTTTAAAACAAAAGAATATGAATAGAGCCACCAGCCACCAAAAATATATACATTTGCATAGATGGCTAAAGGATGAGGAAGAATCTTTCACACTCCCCCAGCAAACGGTATAAAAAAACAGAGGAACAAATTGAAGTTTCAGCAAAGCAGGAAGGAGATTTTTTTCCCCCAGCTTCGTGGGGATATAATTGACGTATAATATTGTATGAATTTAAATGCAGAGTGTGATAGTTTGGTATCTGAATATGTTTGCAAACGATTAACCACAATAAGGTTACTGAACATCTCCATCACCTCCCGTAGCTACAATTTCGTGTGTGAATGGTGAGAAGTTTTAAGAGCCCCTCTGTGAACAACTTTCGAATATATAATGCGGTGTGTCAACTGTAGTCCTCACGCCAGACATGGAGAATATTGAAGCGTCGTTGACAATTCACAGGACAACCAATGAGCCTGTTTGTCTGAAGGCCATTAAACCTCTGGCGTGAAGACTTTTGGCTTTTCAGCCAATAGTAAATTCAAAGGTCCGGAGGGGGAAACACATGCCCATATCGTACGGGGTGGGCGGGTGGGTGGGGAGGAAGCCAAGTTCAACGATGCAATCGGTCTGTAGGGTTTGCAGACTCTGTGGGTGGGGAGACAGGTAAGGTGTGTAACTTGAATCCAGGGACCCGGGCTATGCAAGACCAGCTACTTTTAAGTTTGGAAGTACTGTTTCATTAAAGGTTGAGGGCTGGCCACCCGGCTCCCCACCCCCCTGCCCCTGGAGCCGCCCTGCACAGGGAGCCCCTGGAGCCGAGTCGGGGAAGCCCGGGAAGTAGGGCTGGTGGTGAGTCATTAATTCTGGAGAAAAGCCACTGACTTACTGAAAGTAATAGTGGTTTACCAGTAAGCCAGAGTCATGCACTTCTCCTCTGGGGATAAAGTGATGTCACAGCATCTGGTGCTGAACGTGGACACAGAGGCCTCACTGTTGGAAAGGATCACAGCCCCATAAGTTGTCCTCACAGTGGTTCTCAGCCAGAGGTAATGGGCCCCCCCAGGAGACATTTCCTGAGGGCGTTCCTGTCATCCGGTGGGTTGAAGTCAGAGATGCTGTTGAACATCCTCCAATGCACAGAATAGCCCTCACGATTAAAAAAAAAAAAAAAAAATATGTACCCAAACTGAGAAACCCCACTTTAAAGCAAACAGACAATTGCTCTTTCCTGGGGATCAAGAGGTGGTTTCAAGTACATACAGAAGGTGCTCGATAAATGCATGTGGACGAGGATACATACAGAAGGTGCTCGATAAATGCACGTGGCTGAGGATAAAAGGCTATTATCGGTAAAACCTAAAAGAAGAGCCCAGGGTAGTGCTGGAATAGAGGTGACAGGAGGCGCGCCAAGGCTAAAACCACAGCACTTAGACCAGGAAGCGGAACGTAAGCTAACGGTGAGTTTCTCTAGTGGTTCTTTGGGGGTATGATTATGAGTGATCTTTATTGTAAGATTACACTTTTTGGAGCTTTTTAAAACAGTGAGCTTGTATTATAATTCAAAGTGTTTAAGCTCTTACAGCGATTTACTTTCCCGCATCCTCTGTTGCCCGGATACTTGTTAGTACCAACGCCGGGCCGGGCGCTGACTCCCTCCGCACTCGCACACTCAGCGGGTGCCGGTCAGTTCAGCCCTGGCGCAGAGGAACCCGCGAACGTGTGAAGACCGCCCTTCCCCTGGAGAAACCCTTGGTCATAAAAAGAGGTCTGAATTGTGCGTTGGAGCCCGGGACTCTGGTCCCAAGTCTGACGCCAACGTCTGTCACCTTGAACAAGTCGCACATGCTCTCTGACCCCGGGGCCCCTCCTCCG